AATAATATTAATAAATATTATCATATTATTTATTACTTATACAACAACTACAACAAAAATAATAATAATAATAATAATAATTTTAAGAATCCATCAAAATCACTGCTTACAAGGAGAGATTTTATACCATACAAATTTTTCACAATTTTCCATTAAAATCCATAGAAAGTCTATGGATGGTTGAATACCTCGAAATTTTAAAAGACTTTTAATTGAATACCTCCACATTATAAAACACTTTTAAAAGTCTTGAATACCTCCACATTTTTAAACATTTTTAAAAGTTTAGATTGAATCCCTATTTTTAAAAATTTTGATTGAATACATATAGATTTTAAGAGTCCAGCAAAATCCTACTAATCTAAATTGAATACACCCCCCTTAATTCTAGTTTATACGTACTAAAAATCCATATAACACTTATATTTATAGTACATATATTACATATTACATGAAATTAAAGCATGTATTATTAATTCATATTTAAAACGTGTATTATAAATGTTATAATATCAAATTGAAATTCTCTATTTCAACCATAAAAATACATACATATTTATAATGATATACAAATTGTCTAAATAAGACACAATCTTATAAATATGTTAAATAAGATAACTACTATAAATATAATATATTGCTTGTAAATATATTTTAACACTCATTCTCAAACTCAAAATATATTCGAATGAATTTGAGTTTGTCAGAAGCGACCGAAAAAAATATAGCCTAGATTTTTTACGTACAAATTTTAATTCGCCAAGATTGACTGCCGTCCAATGGAGCAAAGTCATAAGCTGAACTCTCAACACTGTTAGAGTTGGAAACAAGATTCGCTCGCTCACAACGGAACTAAAGTCGAAAACAGGACTCGCGCACTATATAGAGTTAGAGTCGGAAATAGAATTCGCTCGCTCTCAATAGAGTTAGAGTCGAAAACATAACTCTCAACGGCGTTAGAGTTGAAAACAGGACTCTCAACGGCGTTAGAGTCGAAAGTAGACTCTGTCAGTAGAGTAGTAGAGACATAGACAACATGAAAATAATAGCATAATCGTGTGTAGAAACAAATACATCAATAAAATATAAAAATGTATACGAGATATAACGGGTTATGGATATACCCGGAGATAATTTGGCTCTGATGAAGCAAATACATCAATAAAATATAAAAATATATACGAGATATAACAGGTTATGGATATACCCGGAGATAATTTGGCTCTGATACCATGTTAGAATATGAAATTGAAATTCTCTATTTCAATCATAAGAATATGTACGTATTTATAATGATATACAAATCGTTTAAATAAAACAAAAATCTTATAAATATCTTAAATAAGATAACTAGCATAAATATAATATATTGTTTCTAAATATATTTTAACAATATAAAAGTATATCATATGTTTTATAAAAATATGTGCTCTTGAATTTTATATATTTTTGAAAATTTAGTTAGTAATAAAAATATATAATAAATGTAATGCTTTTTTATTTTTTATAAAAAAAATATTGAATATAAAATAATAATTATATGTTTGTAATTCTTTTACTTTGTCAAATTCACTAATAGAGTAAATTTAACGTATGACTAAACATGAAGCGATAATAAATTCAGCTGATCGAGAGAGTAAATTAACGAAGATGCTTAATTAGTATGTTCTTTTAGTATTTTAGAATAATTTTAGAATTATAAGATTTTTGGATTTGTTTGGTTTTAATTTGATACTGGGGTGGTGATTTGAAATTTGATTTAAATTGTATTTTGATATTATATTTTGTAAATAAAATAATATATTTTCCCATATGAAAATAAATATTTCAATTTTTTTATTTGAAAAAAATAATTAAACACACCCATATATATTTTTTTTTAAGTAAAAAACACTTATTGAATATAAGATTTTATATGACAAGCGAGTATTAAATATCATAAAAAATCTAAATTTTACTTCAATAATAATGTTAGGGTTCGATATTTTGATTTGAACATTAATTTATAATTTTTTTTTTCTTTTAGAAAGTATAGTACTATGTTTTAATAAAAAATTATAAATTTTATATAATGAAAAGCTGAAAAATCAAATATAAACATGAAGTTAGTCATTGAATAAATGATAAGAAAAAAAAATTATTTTAAAAAAACAACACTTTGAAATGAGTGTATATAATGAAATGGAGTAGGTGTGAGCATTCGGAAATCGAACCGATCCAAAAATTCGAAATTTTTGAAAGAATCAATTCGAATCGAGCCAAAATAACCGAAATCCGAAATTCGAAAATCCAAAATTCGAACTAAAAAATCTGAATCAAATTGAAAAATCCAAAATTTTAAATATTTTTAATTATTTTTTTTAATTTGTAAATTTCTTTTATATTTTATGATTATTTTATAATATTAAATATATATAATATATAAAAGTAAATATATTAAAATATAATTAATAATTTTGAGTCTTTTTTATATTAAAATATAATATTTTTTAATAAAACATTAAATATATATAATAAAAAAATATATTAACAATGTTATATTTCGGATTGGTTCGGATTTTAAGTATACCGATTCGATCTGATTCAAAAATTCAAAATTTGTCAAAAATTCAATCCGAACTAATCCGAACCAAATTTTAAATTTCAGTTTGGTTTGGATCGGATTTTCGAATTTCGGATGTTTTGCTCACCCCTAAAACGGAGCCATCATATGTCAAGGTCGAAAAAAATCACCATTATTAAACATAATCTCGGTTGCTAATTAATTAGTAGTATTAGTTTGTGGGTGTTTATTTGTGTAAAATAATGTTGTAACTTTCGTGTAAGTTAGTGTAATTATATGAATGTAAATAAATATAAAAATACAAGTATTTGTAATAAGTGTTAAGGTCAATACTTACAACATATACACGTATCTTATGTTTGAACAGACCAAGATGATAAAATATTTATCTTATAACTAGATGGATGGAGTGTAAGATAATAGTTGATTTTATAATTTGATTTTGAGCTTTGTTTTGAACAATAGTTTTAATGTGTTATTTTATGAAATACAATAATGAATTTTTATATAGAAAATAATAAATATGGTACAGTAAATAAACAAAAACTTTAAATTTAATGTAAATTGAAAGATTGAATAATCTAACATATATATCAACCACCCCCAAATTCATGAAATACACGTTGCTATATAGTACACACCTCACAAATTCCCCCAGAAGATAACGATACATGTCAATTTAATCAATCAAACTGGATATATACCCAAAAACACATGACTTCCACACCCAATGACGTGTGTATATATATCAATAATAATAATAATAATAATAATAATAATAATAAATTTATTTCATTTACAAAACATACATTAACTTGAACCGAACATGAATTTTACATAATATATTACTCCCTCCGTCCATTTTATAATGTTCTAAGTGATATTTACACATTTTTTTCGGTAATTAGTTTTTTTATTGTAAATTGACAAAATAGCCCTTTATTTTGTGTATAGATATAAAAAAAATAAATAAAGTAAGAATAAAAAAGTAAATTCTATGTATAAAAATAAAAGGAAGACAATCATTTTTTGATGTTCCAAATAGGAAAGTAGTTTGTGGACAGAGGAAGTATTATATTGATTAATTGTGATATAAAATAAAATTATTTGGAAAATATGTAAGTGCATGAGCTAATAATACAAGAAAAAACTTCATTAAAGGAAAGACATAAATAATTGTGATATATTTATTAAAACAAAGATTTAAAAAGTGTAATAATTTTTCGCTATAAAAAAATTTGCATATTTTAAGGACAAAACTATATATATATAAATAATTGGTATCCGAAAGAGCGGAGTGATTATGGTCCTGATTGAGAGTTGGTACATATAAAATATTCAAACAACATAATATTATGTGATATTAATAGTGTACTTAAATTTTGTATATCAATACAATAAATAATAGTCTCCCCAAAGGAAATATCATTGTCAATAATATATGTGAAAGTCATTAAGCAGCAATTAATATTAGATTGGATTTCAAAGCAGCATGGGTAGGATCAGAGCAGCCCATGTGAAGTAATATTATTATTATTATGGACACCACATGGTATTTGCCTCAAATTTTGGACAACTCCATGACCCATGGCTTGTTTCATTTAATTTATACACACATGCACATGCAAAAAAAATGTTAAGGTTGAGATAGAAATTTAGAAAAAGTCTTGAAAATTTTAAATATAATAAAAAATTAAATATTTGATATTATGTTTTACAAGAGAAAAATTTATTTGATGTTATATGCCTCCTTTGTTTGGTAAAAAAAATTATATTTATTTTCGAGTGTTAAGATATTTGAATATTAATTATTATATCGAAATGAAATACATATTTAGAGAAAATGACAAAAATATATTTATTAATGTCTTGTAAAATATTAATTAATATTAAGTACTTTCAATCAAACATAAAAAAATATTTTTAACAAAAATAATATTTTAAATGAGATGATTACCTTTTATAAAATAATATAATATATATTATATATTAAAAATAGTATGGGTAAAAATTTGATTGAGCAAGTAAACTCTAAATATTATGACAAATTTGAGTTTGTTTGATTATGATTTGAAATTGATTTGAAATTATGTATTTTTTTTTATTTTAAAATAATACTTTGTGAGATAAATTAAGTACCTCGTATCTTTATTAGAAACTAATAATATTATTTTAGTTTGATAGTGTATAAAGAATTGATGGCGAGTTATACTTACGGGATATGAATTTAATCCTCTTAATTAATATATGATAATTAAATAATTCTTAGCAATCATCCTAATCAAACAAGGCTCTAATGTACCAGAGGGCCTTTTTTTATAATTTTATGAAACTTTAGGCCCAAAATTTAATCATAGATTTTAAAATCATAAAGCGGGTTTAAGGATGTAGCTCCGTAGCAGCCCTTAGAGAGAAATCGTATATGTTAGTTTTTTTCTAAAGTTGCGTATTGTTTAAAAAGGAATCGGAATCGGAATCGAAAATTTGAAATTGGATTTGTACTCATTGATCTGAGTCACGCTTATTGTTTGCTCGCAATCGCATCTGCCTCCGTTTACCTTTTGCTAGTTCGACTGAAGATTTCCACGGCGACAGAGCTAGGGAATTAGTGTTTTTATGACAATAATCGATGGTGCGACGAAACCCTAGCTTTATGTTTTTTACAGGTCATTTGGCACTGGTTTTAATCATTGCCTGTGTTCTGTGCAGGGCGTTCATTGGCATTTCAATGGCTGGAGCTGACTACTGCGAAATTGCGGCTGACACTCGTATGTCCGCTGGCTACAACTGTATTGAATTTCTTATACTCGTCAACTATAAAATTTTATTATATATCTCAATTCACATTTATCTCATAGGATTGCTCCTTAGCTGTTGGAATGTTTTATGTTTGATTTATGGTGAATCATCTGTTTTTGTGATCTATATTGTATTGTACATAGAGAGTTGGTGCAATTTCTGTAACACTTGTTGTGAATTTATGAATGTACACATGCATGCATACATAGATATATAAATTTTGTATTGGATTTGGACTGATTGGTGACATCTTATTTTGTTAGGATGCATGAGATAATTGAGGATTATTTAATTCTTATGTGTCAATTGCTTTCGAGTAATCTCATGTAGTAAAGATAGCCTTTATGATTAATGTGAAGGGTTTGATGCTGGATATGTGAAATAGATTGAAATATCATAATTTGAGTGTTCTTCCATTGGTGATTAGCCAACAATGTTCTGATGCTATGTAAATTGTTGAATTTACTTCTGGAATTGATGATTGATATGTGTATATATATATAGATCATATATGTATGTATTTCTTTTAATGTCCAAATTCCCATTGAGCAAATGAGCTGGCCTTGACAATGAAGTTTGAGTTATCAGTTTATATGGCTTTGGGCTTATTTCAAAACTTGTTCCTCATAGAATTCATTAATATATATATTTCTCATCCATAAGGAAGGACTGAATGCTGTTGGATCTTGTGAAAGAGGGTTGGAAACAGCTCACATGGTTCTGGTTCCACTCTCATGATGGATACCCTTCTTGAATAACCAATGTAAGTCTCCACTCCAAGCCCCCTTTTATTACCTGTTTACATAATGTGAATATGCTTTTAACCTGATTGTTTTGGATTTACGGTATACTTTTTTATGTACAAAATAAAGTTATAATAATTAAATATATTTTGGAAGTATTTGAAGTTTGAAAAGTTTTAAAAATACTCAAAATTTTGAATTAAGAAAATCAATAAATTTGCCTAAAATCCCACTTTCTTAAATAAATCAATACTGCTACAATTTTCTTTATTAATCAGGCTTTTATGTTCATCAAATAATACTCCCTCCGTCCCATATAACATGGGCTGTAGACACGAGAATTTAAGTAAAGTATAATTAGTAAGTAATTAAAAAGTGTATTAGTTAAAATAATTATTATTTAGTTAAAATAATTATAGATTAAGATTAAGATAAGTAAATAGTTTAATTAAAATTAAAAAATTTATAAAATTTAAAATTTAAAATGCGATTAAAGTGCATAATTATATTTTCAAAAATAGAAAGGACAAGTTATGTGGGACGGACGAATAGAAAATAGGGACAAATTATGTGGGACGACGGAAGTAGTATTTTCTTTTTCTTTTTAGTTTTAATTAAAAATAGCTCAAAAAATGCCCTTTAGTGTGTTTGTTTAAAGGATTATGGGGAATTTTACTATTCATGCCAAACTTTTCCCTAAAAACATCAAAATTAAATATCTATTTTTTATTTTTTATATTATATTAAAAATTAATTTTATATTTAAAACATCACATAAATACTTATTTACATCACATCATACAATTATTTAATTCAATTTTTTTTTTTTTACCATTCAAATCTCAATTTAAAATTCAAACATAGTGGTAAATATGTGCTATAAGATAGTATATAGTTATTATGATCTCTATACCAGCAAATTATTCAATCACCGTCGTCAAAGTTGGTGCTTTGGATACTCTGCATGTAAAAATTAAATAAATTTTATTTTATTGAAATATATAGTAGGTATGCAGATAAGGTACAAGGTATATGCTAGACGAATATATAATACATGGTCTATTTTTTCAATGAGATAATCTTTGTTTTCCAAGGGTCTATTAGTTCTTGCTAGTCATTTTTACTTATATGAAATATTTTCAATCACATGTCGTATAGGTTGTTTATTGAAAATTATGTCAAAAGAAAAATAATGGACAAACAAACCTTCAAATACGAAGAGATAGCAAAATCAAATAAACCAAAATATTACTATTTAAATAAAAAATATATATATATATTTTTTACATGTCAGAGATACCAAAATCAAATAAATCCAAATATTTTTATTTAAATAAAAATAAAAATAATTTTTGTACATGTCAGAGATACCAAAATCAAATAAACTAAACAAAAACAATAGTTATTAATGTTCCTAATTTTTTTTTTTATCAAGATTATCCAACTAAATATTTATTTTTTATTTAATATATATTATATGAAAAAATAAAATATTATTTAAAATATCATATAAAACAATTATTTATATTAGTCCAAAAAATATTATTTCTATATTATTTCATTTCTCACTTCAAAATATTTTTTCAAAAGAGAGGTTTATTTATTTGTTTTCTAAATATTACAAAATATATTTATTTAATTTTTATCAATTATAGTATTGAATACTAATTTTTATTATCTAAAAATTTATTTACAGATTTTTTTAACTTTTGATATAATTCAAAATTTTAAAACATAGGATATCAAATACTTATTTTATTTAAAAAATATATATTATTCCAATTTGATTTTAGTCTTAGCCTCGTGTTTTTTCAAATTTTCTCTTCCGGCAGGCTGTCCCCTCCCGTCGTCTCCAATTCTTTCTTCATCCTTCGTCTCCATAGTCTCTGGCTTCAATATCCTTTTTTCCCGACGGACCTCGTGACCTTCTTCTCCTACTTCTCTGTCATCTTCCGGGGCTAGTTTTGGCGTCGTGTTGTTTCGGTTATGTTTTCTTCTTCTACAGCTTCGTCGGAGGCTCAAATCTGAGAACTAGGTATTTTTGACCCCGATCGGCGGATTCTGCAAAAATGGCACGAAATAAGGTATTTTTGGCTTATTTTTCCTCGGTAGACTGCATATTTTTCTCTTTTACATGCTCTTGGTCACGCGTACTTGAGAAGTAGAACTCGTTTTTTTGCTTGTTTATGCCTATTTTCCTCAATACATATGTTTTGTGAATATGATTGACTCCTTAGGGATGTGTAGAGCGAGGTCGTAGCATTTCATTTCTGATAGGTTTAGTACTGGAAATCTACCCGGATAACTGTTCTTATATTTTATTTCTTATTTCTGTTGACAGGAAGGCCTGGTTCTGGTGCTTGATGTTGGTCCACTGATGCATTCTGTGTTGCCAGAAGTAGAAAAAGTTTGTTCTATTATGATACAGAAGAAGGTACTGTAGTTTCATATAAAAACTTCAACTGTCATCATTTTTTACTAGTGGAATAATTGCCAGACTCAGAGAGGCTATCTTGCATTGCTCTAAAGGCCTTGGTGTTCATACCAGCGGCCAAACTAGTGTTGTTCAGAAAATTCTACTGATTTTGGTATTGTCTGTTTAGAATGATATTTAATTGTAATTTTGATTAATTTATTTTTATCATGCAGCTTATTTACAGCAAATATGATGAGGTTGGACTTGTCGTATTTGGTACCACAGGTATTTTTCAATTTTGGAAATGACTTTTTATGCCTAAATGAGTGCCAGCATAGTTGTATAAAAAGTGAGTTATTTGGCTTATGCTTTTGGAAGGCAGAACAATTTGGGATAGTTTTATTAGTTCATCAGTTTTAGGTGTAGAATGAATAAGGCTAATTTTAGTTGTTCATCTAGAACTCTTCATTCTTTGTGGTTTTAATTGGATAATGTTGCTCATTTTCTTAATCCTTTTGGTAAATTATTAAATTTGGATAGATAATGCATATCTTGTGTGTAAATATTACAGAGACAAAGAATGAATTGGCAGTAGAAGTTGGTGGATATGACAATGTGATGGTTTCACGGGATGTGAAAGTAGTAGATGGAGATCTTGTTGATGCTTTACAACAACTTCCTCGAGGAAGCACACATGGAGACTGTATCCAGTTTGGCACACCTTATTTTCCATTTCTGAAATACACTACACATGTTCAACTGTTAAAAAGAATATACAAAAGAACCAGAGAATGAAATGGCATCTTAACAATATGCTTCCAGATTCTTTTTTTCACTATGCGGGGTGAGTTACACGGATTAGGTGATGAAATTGTGTTCAATCGTGACATGCTCTCCTGTAGGCCTTATTTATATAATTAATTTTGTGTTATAATTTGTAACTCAAATTAATTAATCATACACCTTGAACGAGCTTTAGCTTTAAATTAGCATATTGCTATCACTCCTTTTAATAAGTGGGTATACTTATATTTGTTATGTGCCAAAGGGGATCCATGGTGTAAGAACTGGTAGTGTATTTAAGCTGAGAGTTCATAAATTTTTTTCCCCTCTTTTTCTAATGTCTTTATCCTGTGGAATTATGTTCTCTCCTCTTTACTAACTTTGTTTTTTCGTAGATCAACGAATAAACATCAATGTTTAGCTTGTTAAATTCTCTAAATTTATGTTAGATCTGCTGCTTGACTGGAATTTGGGTATAACATATTCTATGAACTCTACTCCTGTTAGTGTTGTCTAAGGTCGGTTGGAGCGCTGTATAATGGCCTTAAAAAGGAGGTTTTATGAGGTTTTCGTTCACTTATTTCACTTGGTGGTTCTTGAGAAATTGTTTTCATTGGTAATAAAGAGGTTCTTTTACTTCAATGCTTTCATGACATTTGCTACCTTAACATTTTGTTCCAGTTCTTGATGCAATTGTTGTTGGGATGGATATGTTGATTAAGAAGTATGGGCCAACTAACAAGGGAAAAAAGCGCTTATGTCTTATAACTAATGCAGCTACTCGAATTAAAGATCCTTATGAGGGAACAAAGGAGGACCAAGTGAATACAATTGCTATGCAGATGACAGCACATGGCATGAAGATGGAGTGCATCATTTTTAGAGCGAAACAAGATTGTGATTTGGATAAGGGGGTTATGGAAGAGAATGATTTCTTACTAAGTTTATTTTCAAACAAGTCTTCCTCAAAGATGGTGTATGTTGAGAGTGCTACCTCATTATTAGGTGCTCTTAGAACACGTAACATATCTCCTGTAACTACATACAGGGGAGACTTTGAGCTAGGCCCTCAAATGCGGATCAAGGTCATTCTCCTTTTCTACTGCTGATAATTCATGGTTATCTTTTTTCTTCAGTTTTTAGTCTTTTATATAACAAAAGAGTAAAGACCTTCATATCATTTTTCACTGTTAAATGTGTTAGTGATGGTAGCCTATGATTTTTGTAGTCTCATAACATTAAAGGTTCATCATGTTACTTGCTTCGATATGGAATTGTTGTGGATTGTAAAAAATAACTCTGAATGATGTGAGTGCCCAGGTTCATGAATAGGCATACCAATGATTTATATATTTGGCTTTCTAGTTCTGACTCTTTGTCGACTTTCTTTGCATCTAATCATTGTTGATTTTGATTGAGCATGCAATGATTGTATCAATGTTGATAATGTCGTATTGCCCTTACATTTTGGTTTTATTTTAGGTATGGGTCTACAAGAAAACATCTGAAGAGAAATTTCCCACTTTGAAAAAGTATTCCAATAAAGCCCCTCCAACAGATAAATTTGCCACACATGAAGTTAAGGTTGATTATGAATACAAGAGTGTTGAAGATCCAAAAAGAGTCGTGCCCCCTGAACAAAGGATCAAAGGCTACCGCTATGGTCCTCAAGTAGTCCCCATATCCAGTGCAGAGTTGGATGCTGTGAAATTTAAACCGGAGAAGAGTGTAAAGCTTCTAGGCTTTACAAGTGCATCGAATATCATGAGGTACAGTAACTTGTACATTTCTTGTGTTTATGTGAATTCTAATAAACTTATTGAAGTTTGTTACTCCCATTGTCATATACCTAGACAATATTACATGAAAGACGTCAACCTTTTCATTGCTGAACCTGGAAATACAAAAGCAATCCTTGCAATCTCAGCATTAGCAAGAGCAATGAAAGAGATGAACAAAGTAGCTATTGTCCGCTGTGTTTGGAGACAGGGACAGACAAACGTCGTTATAGGGGTCCTAACTCCTAATTTATCTGAGAATGATAAAACAGTAAGTACAGGGAAGCTGCAACCAAGCCTGGCTTCTAGTGTTGAATTGAACATGCAATTAACTTTGTTATTTGTTTTTAATTCTGTAGCCAGATTCATTTTATTTCAACGTGCTTCCTTTTGCGGAAGATGTCAGGGAGTTCCAGTTCCCATCGTTCAGCAATCTTCCGCCATCAAAGCAGCCAAATGAACAACAGCAAGAAGCTGCAGATAAGTTGGTCCAAATGCTTGATCTTGCTCCAGCTGGTAAAGAGGAAGCTCTTCAACCTGATCTCACACCCAATCCCGTTCTTCTGGTAATTTCTAGGATGTATTTGAATATTATCTCTTCCATTTCTTAAGAAGGATACATATATCTTTTACTAATATTATAAGTCATGTATTTATACAGTACCTTGTAGCTAGTGTTATTTTATTTTTTACTTTTTCTTCATGAAATTTCAGCGATTCTACCACTCTCTTGAGATGAAATCTAAGGATCCAATTGCTACTCTCCCACCGCTCGATGCGACCCTTAAAAGGATAACAGAGCCTGATGCTGGACTTCTTAATCAAAACGGGGTTGTGTTTGAGGAATTCCGTCGGTGCTTTGAAGTTAAAGAGAATCCTAAGGTAATTTTCATCAGTGCATTTGGCATTTGCATAACAATATAACACATTTCTTGTTTCTTTCAATGTTCCTTATTGAAATTAATATTTTTATGTTGTTAATACCCCTGCAGCTGAAAAAGTCATCCAGAAGAATAATAGAAGAGAAACCTTCTGGATCCGATAAGGAAGGAGAGGGGACCGGTGCTGTTGCCATGGATGCTATTGAATACCCATCCAAAGTTGATACAGGGAAAGGAGATGGTTATGAATCCAAAGACATTGTTGATAAACAAGGGGATTATTCATCCAAAGTTACTTTTAAAAAAGAAGGTGATGACGAATCCAAATTCAAAGTTGAGAAAATCGGGGATGACAATCCTGTTCAAGATTTTGAAGCCATGCTATCACGAAGAGATAACCCCGAATGGGTTGAAAAGGCCATAAACAATATGAAACAAAAGATTATCAGCCTAGTCGAGAACTCTTTCCAAGGAGATAACTATTTGAAAGCGTGGGAGTGCTTAGTTGCATTACGCAAGGGTTGCATCATGGAGCAGGTATACTTCTGTCACACCTCCCTCTCTCCCGCTGTTTATAACTACTTTCGACATCTATTAACTTATGCCCTTGCCGTAACCCTGCTTCATTTGGTAGGAGCCAACACAATTTAACAAGTTCTTGTACAAACTCGACAAGTATTGCCACGAGAAACAGCTTGATGACTTCTTGGAATACTTGTACCAACGTGATGTGACTCTGATAAGCAGCGCTGAAGCCCCCGAGAGGTCCGACTCCAACTCTCTTATTATTCAATCATTAACTTGTTCAAACTTCCTGTTTATATACTCATTGACCTAATATCTCTATGCAGCAAAGTTCCTGAGTGTATAACACGAATCTGGATGGGGAAAAAGGAACCTAAAGTTGAGTGAATCAGCTCACCCTTTTGCATTGAAATGGTTACAACTAATATCTCTACAAAGGTACATATACTATTTTGTTCGGCTGCATTATCCTTTTGTCTCTTGGCTCATTTTCCTCTTCGCACTGGAGCTTATGCTGTAGTATGAATATGGCTGCTTATTATCGAAGTAATATAAAATATATGCTTTATTAGGTCAGCTGATTTGGCTTATAAACTTTGTAGTGCTATTTTAATTATCAGTTCATCATGTTTGGAGTCTAGATAGAGAGAAGACGAGTACAAGACGTTTTTAAATGTGTCCTGAATTTAATGGATTAGCCAAAGAATTCCAACTCCCAATTATCATTCGTAGGGGTTATTGGTTAAGTGCCTATGCTACAGCTATGTTTGAATTAAATAATTTATCGACCTCGTCAATTTTCTTAAATTTTGTTTATTTGCGGGTAGTTACTAATTATGACATAATAATAAGTTTAAAGTATTTGGGTTTGGACGAAAGCTTTGGGCCTATAAACGCGGCAAGTGTAATAATGATTTGGGACTGTAAGTGAGGCCCATTCTCGTACATTCCACTGAAATATGGGCCTATAAATTGGGCTGTTTTTGTTACATTTTCAACTAATGAATTTGGGCTGAAATTTCTGCTTTAATTTCGGCCTATGTTACGATAAATTTGGGCTTAAGTTTCAGAAGGTATGGCCCATGTTATTTTACATTTTGCAAGTAATTGGTTTGGGCCTATACCACCCTTCTAATAATTGGACTGAAAGATGGGCCTGTGTATGGTTAACATTCAGTTGGGCTAATATTTGGGCGTCTGATTGGACCTTGTTTGATGTTGTTGGGGATAGCGATGGGCCTTTCATTAGACTCATTTTCAGCTATTTAATTTACTGCATATAATTTGGGTTGATATATGGGCCTATATGTATATATATTGCAAGTTTATTAATTAATTTGGGCCCACATCTCGGCCTTCAAGTAAGCCCATTTCTCATATTTCTTTCTCCCCTGAAGTTCGGGTCTGTAAAGCTAGCCTAATTCTAATAAAGTTGGGCTGAAATGTTATATACTTGATCACGTATTTTCCCTACATTTTCATTTAATGATTTTGGGCCTGTGAATGCAACCCATTTACTCTGCGGTATCCAATAAATATGATAATCGGCCCATTCTTTGGTGTCTGTGGCATGCATACATGTCGTTGACCATTAAACAACCTAGAGGATTTTTCTGCAAAATATTATATTACATAAATACTCCCCGAACCCTAGTCTATTTGTTCTGTTGGCCTGAGTTTCTCCTCTTTTCGCCGCCGTAGCAGCTTCAGCGGAGCGCCGATCAACCGTAGCCATGGGTCGTATGCACAGTCGAGGGTTGGTTTGCCGTCCATCCGACAGTCCAATTTCTTATCATTCGTGATTATTAAAATTTGTGTGTTGTGGGAATTGCAGTAAAGGTATTTCTGCATCGGCACTTCCGTACAAGAGGACTCCACCAAGCTGGCTAAAGATCTCTTCTCAGGATGTAAGGAATTGAATAGATTCGTTCAATCCAATTGTTTTGACGTAAGGATGGGTTCCTTGGCAGTTCTGATGGATATTATATTCATATATACACACAGGTTGAAGATAATATTTGTAAGTTTGCAAAGAAGGGGTTAACACCATCACAAATTGGTGTGATCCTTCGTGATTCTCATGGTATTGCTCAAGTGAAGAGTGTGACTGGAAGCAAGATTTTGAGGATTCTCAAGGCTCATGGTATGCAATATTAGAGTTTATTTACTACACTTGTTCTATTGTTGCTGCAAAATGTATATATAAATAGTTTTATCTCCATTTCCCCCTCAGGACTTGCTCCTGAGATCCCGGAGGATCTGTACCACCTCATCAAGAAAGCAGTTGCCATTCGCAAGCATCTCGAGAGGAACAGGAAGGACAAGGATTCTAAATTCAGGCTGATTCTAGTTGAAAGTCGGATTCACAGGCTTGCCCGATACTACAAGAAGACAAAGAAGCTTCCACCTGTCTGGAAATAGTAAGTCTCTTCCAAAAGATTTGATAATTATATACTTCAACAGGGGATTTAAACTTGTATTAGTTGGTGTAGTTTTTACTTATCTTTTGGAATCAGTTGCCTTTGGTAAATACATTTCTTTTCTTGATGTATGATTTTATTTTTGCAGCGAATCCACCACCGCCAGTACTCTTGTGGCCTAAATATTGTTCGACCTCATGGATTCGCATCTTGAGAAATACTTGTGGGAAGTCTATGAAGAAATTTTAGATATATACTCGTGGTATTCTTACCATTACTGAACAAAGAAACTCCCGACTTGTTTTCTCCTTTTGGAGTGTGACAATTTTGGTCTGTGTAGTGATGGTTAGAGTTGATCTTAATGCGATGGACTTCTTGGAGCCCTTCATCTTATATAATATATGAATGATATTGCATGAGGTATTGTGACCGGTAACCTTTCAAGTGTTGTTGGCTAATAAACTTTGATTTAGAATGTTGTTTAGTTGGAATTTGGTTAGTGTAGCAGTAGGCAAACCATGGCTTGGCCACTGTTAGAGAATATTATTATCTCCATAGGGAGATAATTGAGAAACTGGTATAGCATTTTAAATGTTGCACATTTATGTAAATTTGATTTATGATAAAAGGCTCTGGAAGTTGATTATTCATATACTGCAAGAAGCTGAAAGAGAACAACATGGACACTAGGCTTCATATAGATATTTTACTCGATATTAATTCTGACCTTTTTAGGTTTTCCCCTGGGAGATTGATTTTGGAAGGTGCTGTGATGGAAACTTGACCCACTCTTCCTACGGGAAGCATCGTTATCATTGAATGGATCTGAGAACCCTTCCCAGGCAGACAGTGGACCTGCTAAAAAGAACCTTGAAGTTTGAGTACATTTCATGCCTACCAAATTGTATTCAGAAACCATGGATGCTGCTCAGGTTAAAGAAACGCTCAGATCATAAGGAACAGCATAGGAAAAATAACTGTGGTAACTTATATACACAGTAATCATTCAATTTATACCTGAACTCCTAGAAAAATCGAAAGGATTCCATCCATGCAGATCCCTGTCACTCCAATCTTTCTCAAAGCCCACAAGCTCGTCTGCAACGAGGTATAACAAAAGGGTATTACGTACACGAGAAATAGGTAACTCAGATATCGTTGTTTACGTGTTTCAATATGACGAACCTTCATCCAAGTTGTGAAGGGTCTGAACTGTGTCCACCTTACCATCTGAATCCAACTTCCTTGTGACTGAGTGCCCCTGTTGATACGTAGTATGTGTTTGTCAAATTGGATGAGAAGAGAAACTAGTAAATGAAAAGACCAATTTTCAGTATACTTCTAACTGCAAGTGTTTTGTGCCATTCTTGAACTTTACTTGATAAAAGAAATAAAATATTTTCTGTTTTGAACAAATCAGGACCTTGTCTTGAATTCCTCTGGAGATTCTATGAGTTGCTTGACCCGTTGTTCGATCAGCTTGTTTGCTCTCTTCAAGTGTCAACTGACATACAAACAAGCAAAATATCAAGAATTTGAAACACGTATCTGCACTGAGGAAATAGAATTCAGTTAAAGACAGGATACAGTAATCCCATACCCCATCACTCCCTGTTCGACGAGAAGTTGTTGCAGTATAGTATGCTCCATTCACTCCACCATATGTAACCCTCTGGAAGCTCATACTATTATTTTGTGGCTGCAGCCCCTCTCCTTTGCTTTGGTTTGTATAACAAGAAATTTTGTTTATATTGCTGTCGTAATTCTTCCCATTCTCTGCCAGAGTGAAGATTGTTGAAAGCCAATAAAATCTCAGTTATAAAATGTCAAAGAGTGTTTATATACCTTTGTCTTGATCTTCTGGGTGTACAACAAGTGGATTTCTATTTGACCATCCAGCATCAGTATTATCATTTTCTTCTTCGCCTTCTGTCATTTCCGCTGCATCACTGCCTAGCTCTTCAATAACTAATTGCTTTGATCTGTTTGAGTGCTGCAAACTACCTCGTACACTGGTGGACATAGATCCAAACAAACTGCCAAAGGGACGACTAAAGAAAGGATCATCAAAAGGATCTTTTCCACCAAACATTCTGTCGTACGGGCTACCCAAGTGATTGGAGGCTCCTCTGTCTCTGTGCATTGTGCCTACAGTTACCTGAAAAGCTTAGAGCAAATACACGAGTTCATCATGAGCATCGATAACAAGAACCATTCATACCAATATACACACAACCACCCACGGAAAATCTTCATCCTAAAAAAAACTACCATCAAAACTTAAAAAACAGGGAAAGGAAGTAAGATCCAGAATCCAGAGGGTCATCTAATTCCAACTTCCAGGACAAGCATAATAAGCAAAGCATAGGGTTGAATTGAGGCAGCGTGACATCATAACAACTTTAGTTTTTAGACTATGGCATTTACGAGTTCACTTGCAAGTTAGGCAGATACATCGGCCTCCATCTTTAATAACACAGTACATAATTAACTCACGTGATGAATAATGGAATACAGCAATACCAGATAAATGACTTCATATCAGTTAACCTAATTCTCTATCAATATCAGAGCTCTAATGGTACAATCGATAACAATCAGGTGACATACAGATCATCTAGGACGCAAAATCCTTATGCAAAAGTAATATCCTGTTGAATCAGCAACTTTATTCGAAATTTAATGCTTATAATTTAGCTTTCTCTAACTGAAAAACGGAATCCAACAAACATAAACGCTTTCAGTAAAAATTTCTAAGTTTCTGACTAAACATCTTCTCGGATCAGCAAAAATAAAACCGGATCAACGCGCAGATCGAAATCATTCAGCAAAGACATACAACCGAAATTCGAGGAGAGCATCAAAATCCATAGACCAACTATACCTCCACAGACCACAGGTACCACCCGTCCCGCGCTCCCGAGGAAAAACCTTTTTCGAATTTGAAAATGCTCTTCCGATTATGAACTATAGATATGGGATGCGAGAAGGATGAACCTGGAAGACACGTGTCATCATCCTGTTAGTTCTGGTAGTTTGTATGAGAAAGCCCTGGATTGTTCTTGCGCCTTCCCCATTTTATCCATTTTATTTTGTTCAGTTATTAATTTAAAATAAAAAATAAATAATCGTTAATTCCGTCAATCATTTTTATTTTATTTTATTTTTAAATTTATGCAGTCTAAATGCCTACTTATAATAAAAACACTTTTAATAATCCATAATAACAATTTTTTCATTATTCTTTTACTTGTTATAATCCTGTTATTTCTTAATTATCGTTACCAATCAATATTTTTTATTTGAAATTTACATTAAAAAAAAAAAAAAATTCCAACAAGTTTATTTTCATCATTTTTATACAACTAATAAGCAATTTTCAAAACCCTTCAAATCTTACTAAAGAAAACAATTTCAAAACATATTTACACAAACTTAAAATTCAAAATACAATCAAACAATAAATAAATATCGAAGCAAGTATTTTAAAAACACCATATAAATTAAAAACAATACAAAAACAAAGACAAAACTATTAACAATATAAAGTGTAAAAATTGTCGGAATGCCAAAAAAAAAATTAAAAAAAATTCTACATTTCTAAACAAAGCCTTGCAAGATACAACAATGTTGGGCTGCCTTCTCCTCGCATCATACAGACTCAACAAAACCTATTCCCGGGATCCGAAGATCGGTATGGAGGTTCAATTCTTTTGTATCGACATACAAAAGATAATCATATATATACTAATCAGCTCCAATCCACCGAGTTAGTTGCACGACTCCTAACTACACATCGGTTACTTCAAGAAAGGCAACGTGAATTGCACTTCCTGAATTAACTGCATTCTGTGAGAATAATTCATAGATGACGAGGAACATACGATTTCAAGAGCACCACCAGTGTAAGAAATTAGGTTGGAAGCATGTCTAGATGTCCATCTCAGAATTCTTGGGCATCCAGGTCAGGTTTTGAAGGATATTCAAGACCCTGAAGGGCGGGAATTCGCCTCAAGTCATCTTCGGTATAAGATGGGATAAACCAGTACTTCTTATCTGTCCCAAACACCTATTTTTACAAGATAACATTTGTTGTAAAAAATGCAAGAAATTTATGTCTTTAGTGGAGATCCATTAGACACCCAACACAGAGAACTCCAAATGACGGCAGGAAGAAGATGTCAAAAGATTGGAATCATCCTAAAAATACAACTGAGTCTTCAAAAGCCATTAGGGTTCAATCTTTTTTTTTTTCCGGTCAGGTTTTCATTTAATATACATAAGAAATTAAATTTTCATTTAAAATATAACATCAAACACTTATTTCTATCACATCATACACTATCTCAATTTCAAACTATTCCAAACCCTAAACCCAAATTCAAATATTAAAGAAACAAAGATAATACCTGCTCAAAGTTTCTTTTTCGTCCAAGATCATATCGCCATTTTGGAGTAGTTTTCTTTTCATAAGCCTAGGCAAAAATAAGTAGAAACATCAGTATGACAACCACACATATAGAGCAATTTAGACTTTCATATTTGGGGAAACAAATGCCAAAAGATCAGCATGCAGCATTGTAAGTGATAAGCATTGAACCACGGACATTATCTGAAACTTATAATCTTACCCATCATCAATCTCAAATTATGTGAAAGAAAATAAGCAGTAATACCTCAATGGTTGTGGTATTGCCGGACACCAATGATATGTGCATAATCAAGAATCCCATTACACTCAGAGAAAATGCCAAGTTTAGAACTGCAAAAAGTTAAAAGTATCCTCAGCAGAACAGAGAGAAGAATCGGGATGGGGACAGAGAAGAAAGGGTGTAACAGTACCAAAGGCAAGAAAAGTGGTTGCCAGTGTTCCGGGAGTTCCAGAGATCTCTCCATCACTAAAGAACGCAAGAAACTGAGGAAGCAATGATAAAGCAACGAGAGTAGTCTCTAAAAAGGTGTAGAACTGCGTTGACGAACAGAGCAATGTATGTTGATTGGAATTAGAAACTAATTGCAATTAAAAAATGATCAAACAACATAAGCCAATGAATATAACTATCGTTAAGTGGCAAAATCGCACCAGGAAGAGAAGGAAGTACTTATAATTCAAAGCCCCGACACAATTGACAACCCAAACACAATGATGGTCCATCTTCAGCACACACCTTCCACCTAAGAAAGTAATAACATTACATAACAGTACGTTCACAAATTGAACAATATTCCGAAGAGATGTGACTCACAAACAGAGCAGTGGTGACAACGAGGTGGCTTGAGCTGGTTACACTTGCGACAAAAACGAACTCTATCATTCTCGGGATCACTTGGAAAGTCCAACCCAGTTAACGGGTCATTATCCCCTCTTTCTTCGTCCACTGATGGCCTCCAATTTGGAGGCACACTACCTGGGTCCGTAAATACAACTGAAAAATAACTCCACAATAGCATCACTAACTGCAAAAGCATTAAAGTTTGTTAAATACTCTGTTCCTTTGCATGATAATTCAAAAAACATGGCTAGTCTGCTAACTGTTTTTCAGTTTCTTTCGATGACAAGAACTACATATCACTGTATGATCCCAATTGCTGTAAATAAAGTTTTCATAATTTATCAGCCTGCTTCATCAAAAGAAACAGAAAATTCAGTTTCTAAAGTAACAACCAGTTGAATCAATAGTAATTTTTCAACAATCATCAGTTTTCATATTAAGTTGAAATGCTTCATTTGATCCTCGATCAAGCTTCATAGCTAAAGATATTCTACATCAATGAGTCATTGTCCAGAATAATTTCCCTTCAGATGATTGAAGAATTACAATTTACACCACCCAAGCAAAAATATGACCAAAAACACTACCACCATAATTCCAAAATTTCAAATATTACTCATTGAATCTTAAACCTAGAAACCTAAGAAAATTTCATTTTCCTTTTTTATAAATAAAAAAAAAAACCTAGAAACCTAAGAATCCATGCTGAATTTCCAAGAAATTCTGAACTATCAGCTCCAAATAGGATACGATGCTCAAATTAAAAGGACACAATGAAAAACGTATGATCCTCAATACGCACAAACAAACAGAAGAAATTTCCAGAGAAGTGTAAGGAAATTACCAGAGAATGGAACAAGATCAGAACGACAACAGCGATGAGCGAATCGAGGCCGCCGGCAGCGAGTCCGGGGCCGTAAGTCGTAATCACTACGGCATAATAGGATACGCCAACGACGGCGAGAACCAATAGTATCATGATCGACCCAAGCCCTCGGAGAGCAGTGCAGAACTTGAACACGTTCCACGCCATTACTGCTCCAGATCTATACATAATAATACTATTCGATTATTCAACGCAAAATAATTCAAGACCTCAGAACCGAAATATGCAGAAACGCCGTCGAATCTAGGACTCCACGCCCTTCCCAGCTCAATTGCGGTGGCGCTGTATGATTAGGGTTTTATAAATCCCCCCCGCGGCCTTCGATTACGAGCGTAGCGACGGTGGAATCCATCAGAAAGAGTCACGACGGCGGGGCGAAATTAGTAAAACCGCAGGCCCTCAATTTTTCTATCGTCAATAACATTGAATAATTCCTAGTAAACACCCGGGACTTCGCTCTCGTCAAAAGTGGAACGCTCCACACAGCTTCAAGCTCTGCGCGTTGTACTTCCAAATCAGGGCTTGCAGTTGACTCGAGCCCTTTGCAAACAACGTTATTTGTGTTCGGTAGAAAGCTCACGACAGGCCCACCCATATTTGTCAATCCAAAGAACAATCGGCCCAACTCAGCATCGTCATCAGTGACAGCTAGGGGTGGAAATAGGCCAGGCGGCCTGTCAGGGGCCTATGACCTGGCCTACATCAAGCCTGGCCTGGCCTGTTCTATTTATTAGAAAGGCCAGGTTCAGATTTTTGTTAAAGCCTGTTTATATATACAGAATAGGCTTAGGCTTATGAAAAAGCCTATTTACTAAACAGGCCGGCCTGTTTAATAATAATATTATTATTATATAAAATTATTTTTTATTATTATAAAATAAGAATAGTTTTATATATAATAATGATATATAAAAAAAAAAATTTAATTATAAATTTATTAAAAAAAAACAAAAATAAAAATAATTTTTATCCCAATAAAAAATTTCAAATATGAACAACTACTGCACACATGTTCCTTTTTTTGTTTCTTTTATCATAATTCAAATATTATCCGGGATAAATAATTGTATCTGTTTTATTTTTTATTTATAGTATGAAATTTACAAAAAAAAAAAATAATAATAATAATAAATTATTATGTAGCCTTTTAAACAGGCTCGTAGGCCAGGCCAGGCTTTTAAAAAGGCCAGGCTCAGGCTTTAAAAATATTTTTTTTCAGGCTGGTAGGCCAGGCTCAGACCATATCTTTTTAAGACAGGCCAAGCCTATTTAACCAAAGCCTGGCCTGGCCTGGCCTATTTCCACCCCTACTGACAGCACATCTTCGCAACAACTATGGAAATTGGAAAACCCAAACTCTGCACCAAAGATTATTTCAAAGTGTTCACACAGATAGGACAAAATTAGGGCCCACTCTTTCCACTAAAAACGATGGCTTGTATAAGGAAATGAAGAAAATATAACTGCAACTTGAAGAGTTCAATTTACCACAGAGGAAAAATGGCAGACGATCAAAAGATGGAGAAAGGAAGAGTATGCGTTACAGGGGGAACAGGGTTTGTAGCTTCTTGGCTTATCATGAAGCTTCTTCAACATGGCTATTCTGTCAACGCTACTGTCCGCTCCCATCCTTCAGGTTTGAACTCTTTGGATGCATAATCCAAGAATTGATTTTTCTGAAACTGCAGAAATTTTGTCGATCGAATTTCAGGCAGCAAGAAAGACCCAAGCTTTCTAACAAGCTTACCCGGCGCACAAGACAGACTACAGATTTTCCCAGCAGATCTCAACGATCCAGGAAGCTTCGGACCAGCAATCGAGGGCTGCGTAGGGCTATTCCACGTCGCCCATCCCATGGATGCCGGGGATGAAGAAACAGCCACGAATAAATCTGTGGGGGCATTACTAGGAATTCTCCAAGCGTGTGTCGACTCCAAGACAATCAAGAAAGTGGTGTACACCTCCAGCGCAGTCACCGTGGCCATGAAAGACAGGGGCGGCGATGAAGCTCAGCTGGACGAGGGTTCATGGAGCGAGGTAAATTTCATGAGGAACATGACGGCATTCGGAGTCAGCTACTGTATTTCGAAGACGATGACTGAAAAGGCGGCTCTCGAATTCGCCACCAACCATGGCTTGGATCTTGCCACCGTGATCCCGCCATGGATACACGGACCCTTCATCTGCCCCAATATGCCTTTCTCTGTAAAGAAGATGCTGGGCCTCATCATCGGTGCATCTAATCCTCAATTCTTCCATCTTCAAATACGTCGAAACTTGCAGAATTATTCATACTGTGCCTTATAAAAATTCTGAAGAGATTCATGGTCCTGAACAGGCAATGAACCCTCGGTTAACTATGCAAGAACCAGTGCAATAGTGCACGTGGATGATATCGCCGAGGCTCACATATATCTTTTCGAGCATCGGGAGGCCAACGGGAGGTACATTTGCTCGGCGGTAGAGGCAACAGATAGGGAATTGGTTGAGCTTGTTTCGTCGCGGTATCCCGAGTTTAAATTGGTGAATCCAAAGTGAGTTTCTTGTTGTGTTCCTAAGTTTGATCTAGTCAGGAGAAGTTTGTATATATATATATATATTTACATATATGTTTATGTATATAACAAGTATGTGTTCTTGCAGAATTTTATCTGATCCAGCAGATAACAGTAGGTTTTCATCCAAGAAGCTGTTGGAGACTGGTTTCACGTTTAAACATGGACTTGAGGAAATGTTTGACGATGCTATCCGCTGCTGCAAGAACAAGGGGCTTCTCTGATTAGGCTGCTTATCTTATTACACTATATTTATGTAGCGATTTAAATACGAAAAATAAAGAACCGCGAGCTTTCCCACCGGATGGTTATCTGGAGGGTTGAATGAAGCGTCGAATTGTCAATGTACTATATCCTTTACTGCAATTAAACGACGCCGTTTCTTGCTTGAGTGGGCCCTCCTTCCAGAATCTGGCAAAAACTGACACGATAGACAATTTGACACGAAATAATTAAGTTTTTGGTAAAAATTTCAATTCGATTATGTATGCGGGTTGACATAAACTCGACGCGATAGTAAACTGATCGAGTTAAGGTTGAAGCTCTCAACTCGACGTATAACCCGATTATATTATATTAATATTGATTAATATATTCATTATATATATATATAAAATAATTATAATTTAATAATTTTTTCGTAATTTAAATTAAGAAATTCGACTTAGATCAACACGAGTCCATCGGAACCCGACACGATAATAAACAGGTCAACTCGAACTCGACACGATAATAAACGGGTCGAATTAGGGTTGAGTAATTTAACTCATTTAAAGTATTCAACCCGACACGAATCGACCCATCGCTAACTCTAATTACGTGCATTTGAAATACGAGAAGATTGAGGAGTAGATAAGTAATTACGGAAAGATATGGGTGCATAAGAAAATATGGAAAATGTAGGGGAGGCTAGTGGAATAAAGACAGAGTGAGCCGTTGGAGCAAATTAAGCGTCCCCACAAATGTAACGGCCATTACCCTTTGAAAACGCGCTGCCACTTCCAAATTTCTCCTTATTTCTCTTCGGTTTCAAGGAGGAGAGCAATTGGATTTCCTGAGATCAAGATCGGACCTGCGGCACCGGAAAAATGTCGTTCTCGGATTCGGAAACATCCTCGCATGGGGAATACAAGAATTTCCGCCAGATCAGCCGCGATCGTAAGCCTCGATCATCTCCCAATCATCTTCTCTGCTTGATTCCGTTAGCGTGCATTAGGCTTAAGGACCTAATCTGAATTTCTTATCTAAATTTCCTCTCTTATTTTCTTGAATGTCTTTTTGATAAGTTGGTTTGATACAGCACAAAAAATCAATTTTTGCATATGGTACAATCCATCAAAATTGACTGATTATTACTCTATTAAATTACTTAACATAATGCTAGATAATTGGTGAAGGAAAAACAAAAAAAAAAAACTTGGATTGAATCAGAATATTGCGCAGATGTTTCTGTGCTGGTGAATGCCTGCTTAACATAAATATCACAATATGTAGTACTTGGATTGATCGGTTTTATTTTAATTTTTGATATAATAAAATCAAGGTATATTGCACGAGATGCTCCAAGATTCCAAAGGAGGATCATCATGGAAGGTGCATTTTATTTACTGCATCGTATTTGAAGTAATCTTGCTAGTTGTAATGACTTTATTACACTTCGTAAATATTGTCCTTAGGGTTAATGTGTAATACAAATCTGAGTATTTTACTCTATTATACTTCTTATGTATTCCGTTAGAAGTAGCATTTTGAAATTTGCTTCCTGAAAGAATAACATGTGGAGAACATGTACTGGATTTTAGCAGTAGTAAACCTTGTAAATGCTATTACTACCAATGCTTTCTTAGTTCAAGTTTGATCAATTGTAATAGATGCTCTCAAAATGTGGTGGTTATTTTGAGGTTGTGTGACTAAAAGCTGGATTACAGTCATCTGTCTCTCAGTTTCAGTAAAACCTTCAGTTTCAAGTGAACATTCTAGTGGAAAGATAAAGGAGATATATTCCTCAATCTGAGTGCTCAAAACTTAGGGCAAGCATCTTAAAAAACATAGCTTTCTATTACTTGATTTAATTATAAGAAAAGACTGGTCCATGATGTAATATGTTGTTATCCTCTGGATTAATATCATTAAAACCATGCGTGTCAGTAAATAAGAAGGCACTATATTATATATTTTTAGAGAAGAGATATTTTATAAACAATAAGATCAATACGATGAAAGCTGAACCTATAGAACTATAGAAGACAAGAAAAAAGAAAGTAGGAGCTGAAACTGAGCTAAGAGCAGGAAAGCAGGGGCTCAAATTACGTCCGAACTGATAATTCAACATTTCTTCCTCCCCCACGCTTTGCAGAAAAAAAAAATGAAAATAAAAATAAAACTGTCATCTCATTTATGCAATGAGATAAATGCTAGAAGATGATGGATGAGATTCTGGAGATGAAGTGGCGAAGTTTGTCATTACTCGAGTTTAATTTCCAATGGGGTGCTGCGCTGTGGATCCATCCAAGAGCATTATTAAGCATTATATTATATTTGAATATGAATAGTCATGTTTTGTGATCTTGACACACTATTTGTCTTTGGTCAGCCCGCTTCACTCTGGCACTCGTGAATTCTCAATAATCTGACCTTGTTCAGGTACTCATCATGGACAAAGTTACAGTAAAAGTGTTATCTCACACATGCAAAATGGCAGATATCACTGATCAAGGAGTTTCATGTAAGTGAAAACCTGTAATTACTTTTGCTGTGACCCCAATAGCCTATTTTTCTATTATTTCCTTCTATATCTTTTTCTTATTTATTCTGTTATATACATATATAACAATCAAATTGCTTCTTTTCTTTTTAAATATTTATTGGAATTTCTAGTTTGATACATTATTCTTCTTAGATAACTTACAAATGACCATTTCATATTTATGTTGTTATGATATAGTTTTTGTATGAAATTCTGTAAGTACTATACATACATAGATGATAGAGTTTGTGTTAAACTTGCTAGACAATTAGTTTTATGGAAGTGAGACTTCTCCACTATTTTGAGGTATTTAGATATTTTAGATAGATCATACTTCAAGTATGTTTTCAAATCCCTCATCATTTTAAATTTGCAGTAGAGGATGCAAGCCCTTGATTAGATTTCAGTTTACTGTCACTAAAATGCCGGTGATAGTGTGCACCATTGATTTTCTATGAAATAAGGATTCGGGACATTCATATCGAAATTGTTCAATAAATCACTGCAGGTTTGCATCATTTTTCATGGTTTGTTTTTTTTATTCATTTATTTATTATTGGGCAGTGGTGGAAGAACTTTTCAAAAGAAGAGAACCCATGCCTTCAATGGATGCAATATATTTTATTCAACCAAGCAAGGAAAAGTATTTTCTTCAATCTCTTCTTCCTTGATTTCTTGGCTGTATTTCCATGCGAATATAGAGTAGTCAGAGATTTGCCCTAATGAACATCTTTGTTCTCTTTGCTTGGCTCTCCTAAATAAACTTCTACTTAATGCGCACAGTCTATCCTGCATTTTTTTGGTCTTATTGTCTTGTCAAATAATACACGGGATGCTAATAAATATTCCAATCCTTTTCAGCCTCATCATGTTTCTGTCTGACATGTCTGGAAGAGAACCTCTATACAGGAAGTATGACACAGAATTCATTCCAAAAATTTGTTGTCGCTGCTTTATTTTTGTTGGATCTGTGTAATGCTTCCTTCATTTGGTAATTTTCGGTGCAGGGCATTTGTATATTTCAGTTCACATGTATCGAAAGACCTTCTAGAGCGAATCAAGGGTGATTGTAGTGTTTTACCACGTCTTGGGGCTTTAAGGGAGGTAAAAAATCTCCCCAAATTTTGCAGCATCTAATTCTACTTCCTGAATCTGTATATCTATGTGTGTGTTGACATTTGCTAATTTACGACCTCTGGAAATATGCAGATGAATTTAGAGTACTTCCCCATAGACAGTCAGGTAAACCATAATTTATTTATTTTTTAATTGTATGATATCATGTCCGTTGGACATCCTGGAATGTAAAGATTAATGTATCAATGATAACAGCATGGAAATTTTAATTTCAGGCATTCATCACTGATCATGAGAGCGCACTTGCAGATCTCTTTGGCGACAATGCTGCAAATCCTCGAACCTTCGATGCATGTATAAATGGAATGGCCATGAGAATTGCTACTGTTTTTGCATCATTGAAGGTACCAAAAGAATTATTCTGATCCTTCATTCTCAACCCCATCAAGTTGGCTTCAGGAATATATATATATGTGTGTGTGTGTGTGTGTGTTCTTTTATCTCAATTGGTTGTCTTTGTCACCTGTTTATTCTGTCCAGTATAGATGTATTTTCTAGATTACCTTAATTATCACTTAACTTGGAAGGTGAGATCTTCATCTCTAAATTAGAATTACATGTGCTGGAAGAAACTGACTCCTAATGTAGCATCATTCATTTCGTTTTACTGAGGATGAATTTGCCTACCACTGTAAAGAACAAGAAAACAAATGAGTGATTCTCCAGATTTACTGGATGTAAAAATTAGGAGAGAAGCTTTACCAAAATGTCTCTGTCAGTTAGCCTGTCTAGTTTTATCAACTTTCACAGCCAGTAGTTCAAATAATTTGAATTTCAGGAATCTCCTTTTGTGCGATATAAAGCTTCCAAAGCATCTGATGATGGTATGGAGTCTAGGGCTCGCGACTTGATTCCATCAATGCTAGCTAATGCAGTCTGGAACAACATTTCAAATTATAAATCTACCATTCCAAATTTCCCACAAAATGAAACATGTGAATTACTTATAGTGGACAGATCAATTGATCAGGTGCGTTTTGCTTTCATCAGATTTTACAGTTTTCTCAGAAGATTCATAATTTATAATGGTCTGTTTCGCCCTTTAAAGTTGTGCCAAATTTTTTATTATAGATTGCTCCTGTCATTCATGAATGGACATATGATGCTATGTGTCATGATTTGCTTGAACTGGAAGGAAATAAATATGTGCATGAGGTAAATTCTTTTAACAAAATATATTACCATGATATGTCATGTGAATACCTTATCTTATAAATATAGTTGTCCCAAGGTTCCTAGCAAATCAGGCGGTCCACCTGAAAAGAAGGAAGTACTTTTGGAAGAAACTGATCCTGTGTGGCTTGAACTGCGGCATGCTCACATAGCAGAGGTTTTTCTTCTCTTCATAGACCATTTCCCAGCAGGCAGTTGAATTTCTGTAAGTGATAATCTTTACCAAATGCTTGTATATTTCTTCTTATTATTCTCATTTAAAACTTTCAGGCAAGTGAACGTTTGCATGACAGGATGACAAATTTTGTTTCCAAAAATAAAGCAGCACAATTACATCAAAGGTGGTGTTCATAAATCATAAGTGCAAGTTGATTTATTATGTTATGATGCTCTGTAATATATCCTTGTCACAAAACCAGAATATTCTGCACATGTCATATGAAATCTGATTTCGTTCTTCAACTAGTCTTTATTGCATTCAATATGGCGTCTCGGTAGCAGAAGAGAAACTGTCTCCTGTGAAAGTATTTATTGTGCACAATGAGATAGTCTGATTAAATTCTTAGCCTCTAGAGTACCAACTCTCTTTTAAAAATTGTAGCCATGCTCTCCATTATGGGTTTCCATACTTTCATTATTATCCATATCTCTAAGTTTGTTAAATACTTTATTTCATTTTCAATGATGAAATTTTCCTTTGTTCATAACAATATGAGAACAGTCACTGAACCTAGGGCTCTGGATGCATTTGTTTCAAATGAAGATAAGTAATTTTATCAACTAATGCTGTTTCCTCTGTCAAAGTTTAACCAATTTTGGCTTTTATGCAGAGAAGGCGAGTTGTCAACTAGAGACATGCAGAAACTGGTTCAATCTTTGCCACAGTATAATGAACAGATGGATAAACTTTCCACCCATGTTCAGGTTGACTTTTAATTTGAAAGATCTGCAATTCATTTCATTATTTAGTAAACTAATATGCTGCACTCGTGAGAAGCTTTATAGGTTTCAACATTTTATTTACCTACAATTGATTTTGTATTGTGGTTAGACAATGTTCTATTTTTCTTCAGTTTCATCAAGTGTCACTGGTGAAGACCAAATAAAGATTGTTTAAATTGTCGAATACTTGCATAATGCATTGCCCGTTTTATCTTTGATCAGATTGCTGGGAAAATTAATGAGATTATTATAGACGTTGGTCTTCGGGACCTTGGACAACTGGAGCAGGATCTTGTATTTGGTGATGCAGGAACAAAAGAAGTCATCAGTTACTTGAGAGCCAACCAGGTAATATATTAACTTCTATGTACAGGAATGCTGTAGCACTTTCCTATTGGTTCAGATAGGTTACGGTATTTCCCTACCTTACAGGATACTTCAAATGAGAATAAGTTGCGGCTTTTGATGATTTATGGTCAAGTTTATCCAGAAAAGTTTGAGGGAGATAAAGCCATAAAACTGATGCAGGTTTCCCGACCTCTTTCTTTCTCTACATGTGTGTTGCACATATACAAGCTGATGCATACATAATACCTTTCATTAGTGCATTTGGCATATGAAGACCAACCTTGCTTGCTAAGCATTTATAGTATTTCAAGCATTGTTCATAAGTTATGGATTACAATATTTAGTTTTTGGAATCTGAGAAAATAGATGTTCCAATTAATGCAGCATCAGCTGCAACTTGATTTGATATGGATTTGTCTTATGCTTCTTCAGTTGGCAAAATTAACACGTGCCGACATGAAAACTGTGAAAAATATGAAATTGCTTGAGGCAGCAAATCCTAAAAAGGCTCAAGGTGGCGGTTTCTCACTCAAGTTTGATTCATCAGCTAAGGTAAATAAATATTTCTATCCCAAAACCAGTAACAACTCGGTATCTGAGACCTGAATATCTGTATTTTGCTTATCAGAAAAAGCACGCAGAAAGAGAGGATCGAACTGGAGAAGAGGAGACATGGGCATTATTTCGGTTTTATCCCAAACTAGAGGTTTGGTCTAAACATAAGATGTTTATGTTGCTTGAAAATGAAATGAAATGAAAATTTTATGCAATTTTTTTGGCAGGAGATAATTGAAAAGCTCGGTAAAGGAGGACTGCCGGCAGATGAATATCAATGCAAGAACAGTTCTTCCAATCAAGCAACCAAGGGGAGTAGTGGAGCCTCACAGACTTCATCAGCCAGAGCAGGTGGAACTACTGCTCCACATAATATAAGATCAAGACGAACTGCAAATTGGGCACGATCACGGACTTCTGATGATGGATATTCAAGGTAACCAACCACATAGAGCTCCCGGTTCAAAGGGATCTTTAGCTTTTCGCCACATGGCATTAGTTCTTTCTCTTTAAACTTTCTTCGCAAAATGGTTTTTAAGTTGTCGATTGCATTTTATATTCCTTATGAGAAAATAAATTGAAGTTGCCTCTGTCGGCCCTGATTTCCAGTGACTCTGTCCTGAAGAGTGCAACTACCGATTTTAAGAGGATGGGGCAACGCATTTTTATATTCGTCATTGGTGGAGCAACCCGATCTGAGGTAAGAAAGCTTCCGATTGTATGTTCATTTCCAATACTTTTAGTGCAGATAACTGATTATTCACTGTTTCTGTCCTCAGCTTAGAGTCTGTCATAAACTTACAGCAAAATTAAGGAGGGAAGTAATCCTCGGTACGACTAGCATCGATGATCCACCTCAATATATCACGGTAAGCATTACATTCTTGCCTTCAGCCAACCAATTTTCTCAAGATCTAAAACAACACCTTGATCCAACCAATTGGATAAGAAATGTTATATTATTACACTTCAAGTTTCTACATAGTCATTCTATATGTCCTAATCTCTTCGAAATATTTTCGGGGCTCATGCTAAACTACATTCTCTGGCTCTAATTTTCTACAGAAACTCAAGCTCTTGTCAGAAAAGGAGCTCTCAGTGGAAAACATCAATTTTTGAAGCTGACATTGTTGATCCAGAGATTGCACCATGCAATTCATCCCACATTAAGATGTAAAATTTTACCTTTTCTTTGTTAGAATAGATATCTATATATATTCATTATTCCTGTTTACAGGAATCTGGAATTTCTATGTATGATTTTTGACAATGAGAACAGAAACAACAATCTCTTACCAATACTACTATTCATAGAGAGTGAGTCTTTCTAAATACCAAAAGAAGGTTGTCTTTCTTTAAGATTTCAGTATTTTTTTTATGAGCAATTAGGACATCAAAATAACCAGGGAAGGACATACAGATGAGATATTATTTTACATTATGAAATTATTCTGTTATAAACCCTATCCATGTCTTAGTTAAAAAGGGTTGGGCCGTTGGGGATGGGATGGGGTGGGGGGAAGTAGGTGATAATGTGGATATCCAAACTAAGATAGGTTGACCCCACCCCCTCTAACAACCACACACACCAAATCTCTTTCAACCACCACACAGACAGTCCCACACCCCCCACTATGGGATTTTGGCATAGAAGTCAGGATTATTATTATTATTATTATTATTGTCTCCCACCCAACCAATCACCCAAAACTATTGTCCATTTTTTACAATCATATATATATATACAGACTTAATACTTTCAGGAGCCCCAACTGATTACACAATTCTATAAACAACGTAGGCCTTTGCAACACATCAAAAACACATTGATACAAAATCAAGACAACGTTCCAGTTCCAGTTCGCGTGTAAGCAAATTTCACAATGTATGCATACGGATATAAATATATATATATATATATGTGCATGGATATAAAACTGCTGCTCAATTTCAAGAACCACAATAACAGTAATAAACTGATTAAAATGTCTTGCTTTATTAAGAATTCTCAACCGGGCTATCGAATCGCCACGCCGCGCCACGCTTCCCACATGATTTTATCGATGCCAAATCCACATTACCCTTCGCAGGAGTCATCAAGAAGAGGCTAAGCTGTTGGGAAATTAGGACAGCAGTTCTTTCGCCGCAGCTACAATAGCTTCTGCTGTGAGACCAAACTCCTTGTATATTTTTCCGGCCGGCGCGCTAGCACCAAATCGATCAATCCCAATGGCCTTTCCTTTTGGCCCGACAATCTTCGCCCAGCCAAATGTCGATCCAGCTTCAATGCTGACTCTGGCTGTGTCACTAGTCAGGACGCTTTCTTTGTACTCCGCAGATTGCTCCTCAAAGAGCTCCCAAGAAACCAAGGAGACGACTCTAACTCCCTTGCCTTCTTTTCTAAGTTCATCGGCAGCCTTCACTGCAATCTCCAACTCCGAACCAGTTCCAATCAAGATAACATCTGGCTTCTTACCCGCCGCATTGTCTGATACGATGTAACCTCCCTTTTCCACGCCTTCAATGGAGGTTCCATCAAGTTGGGGCAGTTTTTGTCGGGACAAGGCAAGGATTGAGGGCCTCTTTCGGTTGAGGACAGCCACCTTGTACGCACCGGCTGTCTCATTTCCATCAGCTGGACGGAGCATCAATATGTTGGGCATTGCTCGGAAACTTGCCAAATGTTCAATAGGCTGATGAGTAGGCCCATCTTCTCCAAGCCCGATAGAGTCGTGAGTCATGACATAGATGACTCCAGCTTCACACAAGGCAGAAATCCTAATAGCTGCTCTCATGTAGTCGGTGAAAACAAAGAAGGTTGCACAGTATGGAATGAGACCCGGGCTGTGAAGAGCAATTCCATTGCAGATAGCGCCCATACCATGTTCACGTACGCCAAACCTGACATTACGCTCTTCGGGTGTGCCCTTCTGGAAGTCACCGAACATTTTCAGAAGGGTCATGTTGGAGGATGCCAGATCAGCGCTGCCGCCAAGCAGGCCGGGGAGGACCTTTGCAAGAGCATTGAGATTTTGCTGGGATAGATTTCTGGTGGCATCCCCAGGGCTCTCGGGAGTGTATGTCTGAAACAAGATATCGTTGAAATCAAAATTACAAATTTTCAATTGAAACCAAGGAGATAGAACATATGATTTCACTGGGGACAACAATGAAAACTTCCGCTCATATTTCCATGTTATTAATAAGAATCTCATCGTGAAAAAAGAGTTTTATCCATGTGTTCATGCATGCTTACCACAGATTAATTCGTGCATATAAAAATATTGAGTTAAGAAAAGATAAGAACAATAAAGCTGGCGAAGTGGTAAGCAGTACTTACAGGAAGAGCTTTCTCCCAACCAGCAGGAAATTCACCAGTGATTATAGATTTCAGTTCAGCAGCTTCCTCAGGATACTTCTTCTCGTATTCAGCAAACTTGGCATTCCATTCAGATTCTAAAGCAGCTCCACCAGGAACATGTCGGCTCCAGTGGCTGCCAAGAAAATGTGAAGAAAATAAACAGGTACTCTACACACTAGAAAAATAGTATTCCTTAGAATAAACATCGTTACCTCTTCACATCCTCAGGCACATGGAAAGGCTCATATGGCCATCCAAGGTTCTTTCTGGTGGCCTCAACTTCCTTAGAACCCAATGCACTTCCGTGCACACTGTATGAGTTGGCTTTGTTAGGGGAACCGTAACCAATGGTTGTAGTAACCTGATCGTGAAGAAAGAAAAAGAAAAATAAAATCACCACGTGAATTTACGCTCTACAACAAGCAAATAAATCAAATAAGCATGACACCCAGAATTTTAGAAAGTATATTGGAGTAATTTCTTCCTTGATGTCACTTCCAGGCAACGAAATATGTTAAGAGAACATCTTACCTTTATCAGAGTTGGCTTGTCTTTTACAGCCTTTGCTTCTTTGATGGCAGCCCGAATTTCATCATAGCCAGTATTACCATTTTTCACCCAAATTACATGCCAACCAAGACCCTCAAACCGGGTGTCAACATTCTCAGTAAAAGCAATCTCTGTGTCACCATCAATGGATATGTGATTGTCATCATAGAAAGCAATCAGCTTTCCAAGTCCCCAATGTCCAGCAAGGGAGCAGGCTTCATTTGAAATACCCTCCATTTGACACCCATCACCAAGGATGCAATAACTGTGTATAAACCAATGAAATTCTCAAACCATCAATAAGGGTTTTGATCCTTCCTTGCAACAAATAATATAAAAGAAAAGAGGTTATATGGTTCTTACGTGTAATGGTCAACTATCTCGGAATCAGGCTTGTTGTATCGGGCAGCCAAGTGCTTTTCTGCGAGAGCCAACCCGACAGCATTTGCAATACCTTGGCCGAGTGGACCTACAGAGCAATATAAGGGAATTGCACAATGTAATACAGAAACCGACGAGCAAATGAAGAAACATTTAAAAATTAAACTCTAACCGGTGGTGACTTCAACACCAGGTGTCTCAAAGTTCTCAGGATGTCCTGGTGTTTTGCTTCCCCATTGACGGAAATTCTTCAAATCATCTTCCTGTAAAGTATGTAACTTTAGGCTGAGAAGAACGTGAAAATACTGAGATATCTCAAATGCAATAAATTTGCTATAATGGAAATTAAGCTTTCACAGATCAACAGTAAACAAGAGGTAACATATATATCCAGTTATCCACTAACTAAAACCTTAGTCTGGGATCGAATTGGAGCATTGACAACATAAAACTACGAAAGATATCAGCGCAACACAGCAAGTGAGTTTCATGGGGTTTCGCATTCCAGAAAACAACCAACAGAAATTACAGTTCACCTGAAAAAGTTCAAATCTTTAATAATATTTTCATAATTTGAACAATAAAATGTTTACCAGACAACAGTAAAACATCCCCTAAAATTCAGAGCGACATCCAGAACCAAACCAATGTCCACAATCAACCAAATCAGATACATCTCCTACTAAAATTCCACCAAAAATAAATAAATAAATTATATGCAGACAAATATTACAGAAATTCGAACTTTAAGAAAAAAGTTTCGACCTCGACGGCGTCGTATCCGGCCAGGTGAAGGAGAGCGTACTGCAACATACATCCATGTCCAGCGGAGAGCACAAACCGATCACGATTAAACCAGTAAGGGTTCTTGGGGTTGTACCTCATCACCTCATCGTACAATATGTGGCCCATGGGAGCGCAGCCCATGGGCAAACCAGGGTGTCCCGAATTCGCCTTCTCCACGGCGTCAATTGCCAGGAACCGGATTGTATTGATGGACTTCTCCACAAGCTCAACATTAGTTGTTTTCTCTAAGGTTTCTACGGCGGCAGAGGCCCGGACAGGAGTGCGAGGTACAGAGGGAGTACGGCGGCGGGAAACCGACGCCGAGGAGGTAGATTTGAGACCAGAGAAGGAAGGGAATAGAAGACTGGAGGAGGGAGAGAGCTGCTGGGCGGAGGCATGGCGAGGGAGGTTGGAGCGAGAGAGGATGGCCTGGGAGAGAGTGAGGGAAGAAGTGGAAGCCATGGCTCTGCCCTCTGCAGCTGTTCTGTGTTTCTGGGGAAAAACTGAATGAAATGGCTAAGGAAAGGATAAAAGAAGGAAAAATATGAGGTGTGTGTGCGCTTTTAAATATTTTGGGTTATCAAAATTCGAAGTTGCAAACAGAACAAAAGTGTCAAAATCTCTCTGTAGGATAATCTTATGAAGAAGAAAAGAGTCATCAAATAACAGCCCTAGCTTTATACTCGAATTAAATAAAGCATCTATTTACGGACAAGAATATGCTCATCCAGTTACACATCGTGTTAAGATCACAGAAAAGACTTCTACTCTTAATATGTTAAATTTTCTAAGTTACTTTTTCACCTCTGATGCTGTTCATACTCGATATTTATGTCTACTTTTCTGGGTTTGGTAGAGGTAATTTGAGGGATCTGGTGGGGGTTGGTTGTTTGGTGAGCTTTAGAGACAAGTACATAAACATAACCCTTGGGCTTACAATGAAGACACCTTTTGCTAGCTATTGAACCAATGCTAGAGGTAGGTGAATTTTTTCTTCTGACCCCGTTGGATTTTGGGCCCCACTTCTATCTGCAATTCTACGTTTCCCAACAGCGGTAGGTAAAATTCCTATATGTAACCACGAGGATGGAACGCATGTAATGATTCTTTTTCTACTGTTTTTTAAGTCCAGTCAAAAACCCACTTTGTTTAAACCAAAAAGTTGGGTTTTGTTGTTAGTGTATTCCAGAGCAACAGACACAAAGAGGCTGTAAAAACTAGGAAATGATGTAAACACCACTCAGCGTTAGGTAGGTACGTCACTTACCGTAGAATGATCCTATAGATTGACAAGAATTCTTTCTTGAACGATTTGTCATCGATACTATTTAGAAGATCAGCCATCATGAAACTATTGACTCTAAAAAAGTGCAATTTTATAACAAGCCCTTTTAACTCACCACATTTCTGGTTATAACAAAGCATGAATTTAAGTTTACATATTCATCATGTAAAGGGAAGATACGTATTCTTATCATCAAAGTCACAATAGATAACAACAAGAAAGGAAACGAGGTATTCATTCTCTTTTTCAATAAAAAAATATCTTCTATAGTGAAGCGTAAGCATACTTCACATCATTGGATTTCAACATTAAAGTAAGATAAAGAGGATATTATAGCGAAGAACCCTTAGCACAAAACAATTGATCAAAATGTCTTTATGCTAATAAAGATTGGAATAACCAGTAAAATACAAGCTGTTTCTTAATTACCTTAATCCAAGAGAAAGGGCCTCTGCTGTTCTTTACCTGGAAAACTACATCAACTTCACTCTTTTGCAGTTTGGAGTAGAATTTCGAATACCTTTGGCTGTCACAGAATATGAGGCAGATGCTGATCGTAGTGAGGGTGACTTGTCAATATATGCATACCTCTCATTGCCATTCCAGTACAATATGATCCGATTTGTAGAAGCATGCGACCAACTGTCACCTGTTCAGCACAGTGCTCAAGTTAGAAAGAATGCTTATTCCAGCAAAATCACAAAGGCACGAAATACATATAACTTGGGGAATATGAACTAAACATGGGGATAACTGCATAAAGATAAATACAGGATAAGAACACTTTCATGGGGAAGATACTTACCAAGAGCAAGAGTTAAATGAAATGATCCTTCATTGTACTTTGTGGTTACTTGATTCAATAAAACAACCTGCAGAAGTGTTTGCATGAACTGTGGGTTAACACACAATCATGACGAAAAAAACTTAAGACATTTGTTGATGCCTAATGTGGTGGAAGTCAATGTGCTACACGTGGACAAGAAATGTGGATATACACGTACTGCCAAATTAAATTTCTTTGCAAGTTTCATCAGTTTTAAGGCCATTTCACCAAGTAGTCGAGTCCTAGTAACCATGTTCTCAAAGTCTTGACGGAAGTGGAAAGTAATGCTGTCAATAACCACAAGCTTAACCTGATAAACAAGACAAGAAAATGAAATGGATCATGGAGCCTTAACCAAAATTACTGAAGGTTGCTTAATCACCATACAATTAGCTATACTCACATCATTATGCTCTGAAACAAACTTCTCCAAGTAATTTATAACAGCGATTTGTTCAGTGTAAGTGCATATTCGGAAGTAGAATATACTGTCAAGAAAATCCCTTGACTGTTTGTTTACTTGAAATGCTTCTGAATCTCTCCGCAATATGTTATTATATTCTAGCATGTCAACAGCACATGCATCTGCAATTTGTAAAACACGTTCCACCATAAAACTGCCTTCCGTATCTGAAAAATAAAATGATACAAACTAAGCTTTCACAAGAAGACAGCAAAATAATAATATGCAAAATCGCTTGCTCTCACCTAACCATACCTATATAAATTGCCTTTCCTCCGAGGCCACCATAATCGGATGGGATTTGGACATTCACAGCCAGTTGAATCCTATTCACCACTATGTATTAGTTAAGAAAAATACAGTAAATTGTTAGCATGAACACATATAACACACTGGATGTGCTTCTCACCCAAGTTGAGTTTTGCCAATGCCCGGCACTCCACCTAATATAATGACAATCACAACTCCAGTGAGAATACATGGAAACTGATACTAATCCTACTTCAGCTACATAATTTATTGGTGCAAAATACGACTAACCGATCTCAGTAACTTCTTTACAGTGAATTCCTCCACCTAGGATTTCATCTAAATTAGAGGAAGATGTGGTGATGCATACAGAAGATTGCTCCTCATTCAGCATATCCCATGCTGTCTGTGCTCCTAAATAGTTTAAATTGTCAAAAACTTCCATCCAAAACATCTTCAACTTCAAAACAACAAGACTGAAGACTGAACACAAATTACGCAACAAATCAACGAGGAGTGACAAAATACTGAAGCAGGCAACATCCATCAAAGCTACACAGTTTCATCAGCCAACGGTTACTGCTAGAAGCCTAGAACACAACATCATCGCCTGAAAAAACTTGAAACTAAATGTTACCATTCATAATCGCAGGATTTCCGTTCTCAATTTTGTCTAATCCAGCCCTTCGCGATGCAACCCTCAAGATCCCCACCGCCTCATCCTCCGAAATCTTCAAATCTAGTCAACATATATACTATAGAGCCCTCAACTAAATCATCAAAAAACCAAAAAGCTACCAGACATTTACTTCCGATAAATATGCACCAATAAGCCACAGAACTGACCAAAAAGCAAACCAACAATAGAAAATTTCTAAAAAACGAAGGTTACGTACACCACCGGCGCGCGGATAGGGTTTTACCTCGAGCTAAAGTGGAAGGAGAAACATAGGTGACAGACGCAACCGACGTATACCCTGCCGATATCAACTTTCCTCTCTGCGAGGGAGATATTGGTAGAGACGAAACCTCCATTCTCGCATCCACGGAGCGTGCCGCCATTCATTTCAGAAGCTTTGCGCGCCAATATCAGCGATAAATGGGCAAGGACTAAGTTGCAATATTAAGGAATAAAGTGGCTTTCATTTACATTTACAAATACTACAATTTAGTCCCCAAGGTTTCGACAATTCCATCACACAGCCACCTTCGTCTTCACATGCTCTTCAATACTCTGCAATTCCAAGTCTCTCTTCACATAAGCTCTTCCGACAATGTAATAATACTCAATCAAATCAAACCTATCTTCTTTACCAGGCAATGCCGTCGCAGTAATGATAATCAGAAACATAAACAAATCCAATTGCATAAAAAAATGGAATGAAATTCACCAAAAATGCCACGCCAATGGCTATCATAGTTTCCACTATCGTCAAAACCAGAAATTGCAATCCATCCCAGACAGAAATCACGCATGCCAACACTCCATCAAACACGCCAACACAAATTTAATTATAAGTACACAAAGCAGCTCGGCTATGAGTTTCACCATGGCTGCCTGCGAGCCTGTCATCATGTATGCATTCAAAGACCCCAACTTTTTCGTTCACTGAATCATAGACAAGCCCCACAAAACTTCCTGTCGTCAATTCACAGCACAATTCTGGCCCACCAAATAATTGCAGGGAAAAACCCCCAGGATAGTCCATTCAGTTGCAATTCTTGATATTAAATCGATGTGATTAGAATTAGTCATTAATTTGGGTTTGAATTCGATAAGAAAATTATACTACATTTATATACAATTCACTTCTGCCACACGTCCCGTGATGTTATCGTTTTCATAAAAAATCGTTCTTGATCGATATAACATAACTCTGTTCTTGTCCCAAGATAAGAAAGAAAATGCAAGATCTTTGACGACCGATTCATTTAAATTTTACAACTTTACAAAGATTTGGTCTTTGGCATGTCTGGTAAGGAGGAAAGGATGATCATGGCACCCCACTAAAAATGATTGAGGGTTTTGCACTCTGTTAAGTGTCGAAACAGCAGAAGTAAAGCATGTTCCTTTATGTCTGTCTCTGTTTTTTTAATTCCCAGGGAAATAAAATATTATTTCAGATTCTTTTCTAGGCCTGTGTCTTGACAAATTATGAGCAATCACTGCATCCCTTAAGTGTGTTTGGTTGAAGGTTGGGGAAGTTTGGTACTCCCTGAGTCACTGTAGGAGTCTAACAGAATCCTCGGACCGTAGCCTAGGTTTGGTTTATGATTAGTAGGATTTGTTCGTGTCAATTATTTCGGCTATAGGACCCTAGATATCCAAACAACCTGTTGGGATACCTGGTATTTAGACATTTGTTGCTATTTTACAGCGTGGGGGCAACCCCATTTTGGTTCAGTCACCTAGGTTTGATTTAATTTGTTATAAATACTCACATTATGCTCGTATTCTGAAATTCATTATTTTTCTTCTAGACATAGCCAACATGTGATTATTCTTTTTATTATCTTTCTTGCATATGTTGCAACAAAACTATCTACCAAACACACTGTTCTCCACATTGTTCAGACAAATGAAAAGGCTAAGCGACACAAAATCGATTGATGTCGTCGGAAAGTAGTCAACCACACTAATGAGTGCCAAATATCCATTTCTTGGATTACTTCAACTTGTAATTTTATCATTTTTTTTTTTTTTTCTGATATGAAACGTGATTCTAGAAGAAGTGCCCTCAAGAGGTTGATGACATATCAAGAACTTGCTTCATGATTCTTTTACTACTCTATTCTGTCCAATCCAATCTCTTATAGTCTCTTGAAAACGTGCTTAAGAAAAAAAGGGAGCAAGATTTCAGTGGACCATATGTGCCCATAGTGCTGATTTAATAATGCAGCAGGTGATCATAAAAAGCAAATTTTTGGCTTTCTTCTATGTTTTAATGATTGGCGCTTTGGGAAAGTTTTTATCTGATCACTCTCTACCTTTGTTTTGTTTTTTGTTTTGTTTATGACAGCCTTGTCATTATTGATTTTTTTTTTTGTTTTGATCTTTTTCCACTTGTTTACTTTCTAGCTTTTATTGGATCGACACAAACAAATGCCAGAAGCTTAAATAACTGTTCAATATAGTCATAGCTGCCCTGTTTCTTCTATATAGAAATAGAACTGCTTTTTCTTTGGCTAAGAAACCATGGTAAGCTTTTAACTGTATATTCTTAGATGCTTAGAGTTTCTGAGGGCATGGCTTTAGCAGAGACTAACTTATACTTGCAGGAAATAGGAAATGGATTCTGCGATTCCCGCGCGAAAGAAGGTTCTATCGATGACGACGGGTATGTGAAACCGGAGAACAGAGAAAAAACGGGTGGATGGAGAGCAGGATCCTTGCTGCTCGGTACTTATTCAATTTAGCTTATGATATTTATCGTAGAAAAGCTGTATGAATCTTTTGTTTCATTTGATCTGTTTGTTTTTCAGTAAGCGAAGGACTAGCTGCGCTTGCATTTACGGGAGTAGAAGTGAATATGGTTCTTTTCGCCAAATTAGTACTGAGGCAATCGAATGCAGAAGCAGCGAGCACGTTTAGTACATGGATGGGAACTCTCAACATCTGCACTTTGTTCGGTGCTTTTCTAAGCGACTCGTACTTAGGACGACACATGACTTGTGTTGTTTTCCAAGTTGTTCTAATCATTGTAAGTTCCGAGTTTTTTCAGTTTAACTAGTAAATTCCGAGTTATGAATTTTGTGTCGCGGCGCATTGCAGGGATTGGTGCTTTTGTCTCTGTCGACTCAAGAATTCATGCTCGAACCGAAAGGGTGTGGAAAAAATGGCGTCCTCTGCAACCAACCTTCACCGGCTAAAACTGCAAGTTTCTACATATCAGTGTACTTGTTGGCACTTGGAAGCGGGGCGATAGAGCCGGCTCTGGCTGCATTGGGTGCTGATCAGTTCGACGAGGATGATTCTGAAGAGAATAAATCGAAAACAACATTTTTCAGCTATTACTATGTGGCCCTCAACGTCGGATCGTTGATTGCAGAAACGGTGTTGGTTTACATCGAAAATTTAGGAAAATGGGTGCTGGCTTTCTGGATATCGACGTTCTGCGGATTCTTGGCTTTAGTATCTCTGCTGGTCGGGACTTCTAGGTATCGGCACACTCGACCCTGTGGCAATCCGATTTCAAGATTCTCTCAGGTGATCGTTGCTTGTGTTAGAAAAGTAAAGCTTGACGTGCCATCGCGTGGCGAAGGGCTGTATGAAGATGGATGCACTCGACGAATATTACATACTGATGATTTCAAGTAAGCCTTTTTCGATCTTCAATGTAATGAGTTTTGCATTGGCATGTGATGAAATCTTTCCTGGGAACAGATGTTTGGACAGGGCAGCCGTGGTGACGCCGTCGGAGAGGATCTTGTTGTCGAGGAAAGGACAGACTCCGAATCCGTGGAACTTGTGCACGGTGACGCAGGTCGAAGAAGTAAAATGTGTCCTGAGGTTGCTTCCCATATGGTGCTGCTCGATCGTGGCGTCGATTGTATTCGTGCAGGTCCTTTCGCTCTTTGTCGAGCAGGGATCAGTGATGGACACGAAGATATCGAATTTCCACATCCCCCCGGCGAGCATGACCGCCTTTGACATTATCAGCACGTCTACTTTCATCATCTGCTACGAGAAGGTCATCGTCCCGTTGTACGTTAAGCTGATGAAGAGGTCGCTGAGGACACCAACCGAGCTACAGAGGATGGGGATCGGGATGGTGATATCGATTCTCGCCATGATCGTAGCCGGCCTGGTCGAGCAAGGTCGACTGAAGTATGCTAATGGCAGGGAAACAAGCTCTCTCAGCATATTCTGGCAGATCCCGCAGTATGTGCTCGTGGGAGTCTCCGAAGCGTTCATCTACGTCGCGCAATGGGAGTTCTTCGCGTCGCAGATCCCCGAGGGGCTAAAAAGTTTCGGGCTTGGTTTATCCATGTCATCTTCGGCTTTGGGGAGTTATCTTTGCAGCATAATAGTGACTCTTGTTATGAAGGTGACATCGAAGCACGGTAAGCCCGGATGGATATCGCCAAATTTGAACGAAGGGCATATGGATCGGTTTTTCTTCTTATCGGCGGCGTTGATTGCTTTAGATCTCGCGCTGTTCATCACCTGCGCGAATCGGTTTAAATGTATGCAGCAAGAGAAGCGCGGCGGCGTAAAAGAAGCTCCCGCCGTGCCTTGACCGGCCGGGACGTCGAGGAGGAGGATTACCTTACCTTGGATGTAGCTTCAGGGGTTAGGACATGCAAACATGAAGTGTACAAGGGTGAAAGTGTAGTCTGAAATGTTGAGGTTGCAAAGATTTTTGTGAATGAAACCAAACTTCAACTGTTGTCCTGAAAACCTTTACAAACCAATGATACCTAAAGTTGTGATAACAAGTATGACAAACTCAGAACCATGTACGTGTAATAATAAAAATCAAACCTTGATTGTGTTCGGCCAGGCTGCAAAAGCTCTGTGTCAATGGCGGATTCCCGGAAGCTAGGAGAACGATTGTGTAGATAATTCGAGCGTAATTAATCAAATTGAATGGAACATTCTAAAGAAATCTCAACTTCCAAGTGGGAGAGGAATCAATTAAAGAAAAAGACAGCGTCCACAATTCAACAATGTCGCTCATACACTACCGCCTTCCAGCCTCCCTTCACCACCGCCAACGGCCTCTCCGGCATCCTTTCGCCGTCGCCAAGAAGATCACAAGTCTTCTCAGCATGTCCACTTCCTCGCAAGAAGCAGCCATGGAAGGGAAACAAGAGGTCCTAAACCAGGTTTTGAAATACCACAACCAAACTAAGCATTCCTTCAACAATTACGCCCGCGGCCCGCACGGCCTCGATTGGGCGAATCAGCCCAACCCCTTCCGCCGCTACGTCTCCGCCCCGATCGTCCCGCTCAATCACCCCGACGCGGATGATCGGAACGCCCCTCCGTACTTATCCGTATTCAATTCCCTGCCGAATCCGCAACCGCTTTCGAAAACCACGATTTCTCAGCTTTTCTACAACTCCCTCGCCCTATCCGCGTGGAAGACGACGGGATTCTCGACGTGGTCGCTGCGCGTAAACCCTAGCAGTGGGAATCTACACCCTACAGAAGCATACATCATCTCCCCGTCTGTAGATTCCCTCTCCGAGCACTCTTTCGTCGCCCATTACGCTCCGAAGGAGCACGCGCTGGAGATTAGGGCACGAATTCCGGATGATGAATTCCTCACGGCATGTTTCCCCGAGGGGGCCTTCCTGATCGGATTGTCGTCTATATTCTGGCGGGAAGCCTGGAAGTACGGGGAGAGAGCGTTTAGGTATTGTAATCACGACGTCGGGCATGCTATTGCGGCGATCTCCATGGCTGCTGCAGGGCTGGGATGGGATGTTAGGGTTTTAGGTGGGCTAGGTTACGAAGAGATGGAGAAGTTAATGGGAATTGGGGATTTTCCAAAGCTCAGCATTCCCAGCAGACCAGTGAGGGGCCGAATGCCCGAGATTGAATTCGAGCATCCAGATTGTATGCTGCTGGTTTTTCCCACAGGTGAAAAGGAGCTCGAGGTGGATTATGAGAAGCTGAGAATGGCTTTGCCATTGTTGTCAAAACTGGAGTGGAAGGGGAAGCCGAATATGCTTAGTAAAGAGCACATATGTTGGGATATTATTTACAGAACAGCAGAGTCTGTGAAGAAGCCGGCGACAATGGCAAAGGAATTGGTTTCGATCCCCTTCAGGAGCAGCAGCATGATTAGCCAGAGTTCGTATAAGCCGCTTAGTCTTAGTGAAGTGGTGAGGAAACGGAGGAGTGCTGTCGACATGGATGGTGTTACAGCGATGACGAGGGAGACATTTTATCAGATTTTATTGCATTGTATGCCTTCGGGTCATGGAGAAAGTGGGCAGAAGCAGGGGAGACAATTGGCATTGCCATTTCGAGCCATGTCTTGGGACTGTGAGGTTCATGCGGTTCTTTTTGTTCATAGGGTTGAGGGTCTGCCGAATGGGTTGTACTTCTTGGTGAGGAACACTGACCATTTCAATGAGCTGAGGACAGCTACAAGATCAGAATTTAAGTGGACTAAGCCGGATGGCTGCCCCGACAATCTTCCGCTGTATGAACTTGCACTGGGTGATTGTCAGGAACTTTCGAAACGCCTTTCATGTCATCAGGTCCAACTCGAGCTTTTTGTATGCAGCTTGAAATTTATGTGGATGTTTTATGGTATCTTCGATTGTTCTCGGTGTTTTTTCTATTGTGTGAAGTGATAGGTGATTTAGTATTCTACGAGTGGCAGCTTGGTATGACACACGACCTAGCAATTTATTTCGCTTAATTTTCAGCTTATTTTGATGTAGGACATTGCCAGTGATGGCTGCTTCAGTCTTGGTATGGTTGCTCATCTTGAGCCGAATTTGAGGGAAAAGGGAACTTGGATGTATCCACAGCTATTTTGGGAAACCGGCGTGCTTGGCCAAGTTCTGTATCTTGAAGCACATGCTGTTGGGATTTCTGCTACTGGAATCGGTTGCTTTTTTGATGATCCTGGTACGTGTGATCATTGATCCTTTTGCATTTTATAAAGTTTGACGAGTGTTATGAGATCATTTCTGTCTTACCTTGATGCTTTCCAAATGATCATTTTGCTAGCTTTACGATTGAATCTTAATGATCCTAGTGTAATGGGTCGGATGGTTCCTCCTCGAACACCTTCCCATCGGCCTAGCGATTCTTCGATTCTCTCGAGAACTCACTAGTACAACCTTGCACACATCTCTAACGCACGGTAAAGTAAGAACACCATAAAATGCATCCGGCAACGTAGAGTGTTTTATTAACTCTCAAAACTGAAGTAAAGTACAAGTGAGGACTCCTCCTCTATATATAGGCACTCTAATGTAGCAAGATATGGATACGCCATATCTTATCAAATCCACATTTGGATATGCTATATCTTAACAACCCACAGATATAGATATCTAGATAAAGAGATATGGATAAAGAGATACGGATAATCTAAATCTAGTTGATAATCATCAATTCGGTTGAGGGGCGATTTTAGAACTTCTAGAAAGTTCCGGAATATTCCAGGAGGTTCCGGAACATCTTGAAGGATCTCTGCTAGCCTCCTTGTGTTGGTATGCCGCCAACTCGGCGTCCGTCTGCATCTTCCTCTCGGCAATACTCGGCCAAAGTTTCAGTCCGTGACACTAGGAAGAAAACACCGATCTGTGACACTAGGAAGAAAACACCGATCTAATGTGGTTAATGAATGTTCTGATAGTTAAAACATATAACATAAGACAGCATATTCTCAATCCCTGTAGATTTGATTTTGTATTTAGAACTTATGGACAGGATTACATAGAATATTCTTGCATATTAGTGAATAAAATTCTAGGAAACAGAAACGAACAATAGTTTAGATATTGGAGAATGGCTATTTGTGAGAAAACAGAAGAAAGTATCTGTGTGTGTGTGTTTTTCACTCTGAAGCCTGCCGGTATGAAATGCGCAAATTGGAATCACGGAGAGAAAATGGATGACCAAACTTGGCTGAAATCATCGAGTTGATTTCCTTCATTGAAGGGGGTTGCAGCTTTAGTCGGTTCGGGCTCTATGTCACTTCCTTTCCATAAATTGAGGTTGTCTTGTATGCCAAACATATTTTCACCGTTGACCGCCATATCTTGCATGAATGTGGTGATTGGAGTTGCTGCTGGAGGACAGCTATCTTGGCTTTTCCTTGCAGCCGCTGCCTCTGATCCCGGTAAGAAGGGGAGACAATGACCAGCAATATCTGCTGCTGGAGTGTTGTCTTGAACCCCTTCAAGTTCCTCGTTCCTGGTCTGAACGTTTTTCAGCTTTTTGTCGACCAATTGGTACACACTGTTCAGTTGCCTTGTATCCAACTCGTTTAAGTTTTTGCCATTGATGAGTTGATTCAAGACGAACCCCATCTCCGTTTCTTCATTCTTTTGACGAAGTTCAGATACTCTTTCAGTCATGTCCTTCACTTTGTCCATCAAGTAGTTCTCCTGAAGTACCATCTTTTTAAGCCTCTCCTGGTCAGGAAGGCTTAAGAACTTGTCGACATCGTTTATTACCTTGTCGGGGGAGGGCCATAGCATCGTATTTCCCTCACCTGAATCATGAATTATAACTGCTATGTCTACACCGCACAGCACTGATAGCTCGTGCGCTTTCTTGTACAAACCATCGAGCCTTCTTTTGAGAGTAGAGTTCCTCACCCTCTCACTGGAGATCTCTACATACTTGGATTTCTTCGGAGCCATGTTTAGTGTATCATCTCAATGTTTTTCATCACTATATATATAGAGAGAGAGAGAGAGAGATGAGAATAACTTGGATTACACTTATGGAATGTCTGACTCTTGACTAGATTTGAATCCCAATATACACTTATATGGCAAGATGATGATGATGATGATGATTCAAGACTACCTTTTTTGATTGTTGAAATTCAGAAATGGAATGCTAAATAACTATATTTCCTTTGCTTTCAGTGCTGCAGAATTTTCATCCCAAAAATGGCAGATGAAATTTTACAGTTTTATTTCATTACCTAATTTATCTGCATTCTTCAGGATCATCATTTACTTATGCTTTGAATGCTTTGAGTTTCTTGCAGTACACGAGATTCTTGGATTGAAAGGTTTGAAGTATCAGAGCCTCTACCACTTTACTATAGGTGGTCCGGTGCTCGACAAGCGCATCATGAGCTTACCCGCGTATCCCGGCCCGGGCCTCGACGCTTGAAGCCGAGGAACAATGGCAAAAACAAAAAGGCATTTGGTGAAGAATGCAGTACAAAAATAACACAGCTGTAGAAGAATTCCATTATTCTACACATTGTATTCGATGCACATCACAAATATTATTATATCACATATATCATCATATCCCTGCCATGAACGGCACTCCGGTCGCCGGAATCCAGCTCTCCCCGGAGATGAACTTTCCGGCAGAAAACCCTTCAGCTTCTCGCCGGTCGTGCATCAGATGGAAACCAGGCCATTTCACTCTGCTCGCCGTGGAAGCCCCGGCGCCGCTGTTCATATACTCGGCGTAATACAGAGTCTTGAGCCCGTAGTCTCCGCTCCATTCTTTCCATCCTTTTCCGTCGACGAATCCGTCCAATTCCGTCTTCATAATTACGGTTCTGGAGTACGGCTTCCATGGCCGCCCCAAGTAGGTCTTGAATTTTCCCTTAACGGCCTGAAAATTGCCTGCCGGCGACACGCGGGAGTTGACGATCGAGATTCCGGTGTTCTGGTTGGGATCGCTCCTCCCCTGCGCCGTTATTATGTTGGATTGGTGATCCATCGGCCGCCGGACGAGTATGTCGCAGTTTTGGAAAACCGTGGCGGCGTCGCCGAAGATGAAGTCGATGGTGCCGTACACGTGGCAGTCGCGGTAGAATTGTCGGAGCGAGTGGACGAAGAGGGTGTCCTGGTAGCCCCTGAAGCTGCACCGGTAGAATACAGACTCGTCGGAGCTCACACGCGCCGCCACCGCCTGGTGCTTCTCCGGCCCCGCCGTGTTCTCGAATGTCATGTCCCGAGCCCAGAACCCGTCGCCGGAGACACCTGTTGTAAAATTATAAATGTCTATCAGAATTCGATCAATTCAGACAAAGGGATGTTAAATAAAATAAAATAAAATAAATTACCAAACGTGGCGGAGTTAAAAGTGGTGGCGCCGTCAGGGACATTCCGGCCGGCCGTGATGACAGTTCTGTCAATTCCGTCGCCGACGAACATGACGTTCTTTAGATTCCTACCAATGTCCACAGTCTCTCTGTACACCCCCGACTTCACGTGCACGACGATTCTTCCGCCGGCGGGCCTTTTCCGACCGAGTGCCGCCACAGCTTCACTAACGGTCCTGTAATTTCCGGAGCCGTCTTGCGCCACCACCAAATCGGCCTTCGAGGTCGTAACATCCCACGACGCCAGAAGCCCTGCCACGTCAGACCCCGTCGACGATTCTATACGAATAATATACGTATACGATCAAATTCAGACACGGCTAAAAAGATTAGTTATTACTACAACACGATAATTATTAATGTGTAATAATTACTCCTTCTCGTATCAGCTCCGCCGGCGGCGCTGTATAGAGCCAAGGCGCGGCTAATAAGCCGAGTCAAATTCCGCGCCTGCCCGGCTTCAACGAGCCATTCCCTCTCCCCCAAGCCGTCCAGACAAGTGGCGTGGCTCGCCAATGCTGCGCCGAGCCAAGTCACAGCATCATCGCGGCTAAAGTTACTGTCACCCGCAAAAACCAACAATCCCAGCCTCGGCTCCGCCGCTTCATACAGCTTCACGCAGTCAGCCAAAGCATCAGCACCGTCATCACCGCCCGACCCGCTGAGCATCTCGTACCCGACCCGACCCGATTGCAACAGCAATGCTTCTCTCGCCATTGCCACCGCTTGAAGCTCGTTATTACAGTGAACAGCAGCAGTTGCGGCTGCAAGAAGCAGCAAAAATACAGTGAAGCAAAGACGAGACATTATATTTTTTCGATGAAATTAAATATTTTTGAATTAATTGTGGCTAATAACATTAACAATAATAAAGGAAAATCTGTAAATATGCGTAGACGAAAACATTGGATGTAGCCACCATATATGTATTAAGGAAGACAAAATAGTAGACATGTGTCGTTGTGCAAGGTGTTGAAGAACTGCATGCATGGCAGCTATGGATATATTTAGACAACACTGAACTGATCCAGCTGTGTTTTTGTTCCAATTCATGACCGACTCATATATAATAAATTTTCCTAAATTATTTAATCAAATTTTAGTGGTCTTACTGCAGACAAGAAATTAATGTCGTATATGCTTAAACTTGGAAAATGTGTGCATATAATAAATATGGAAACGGTTAAAAATCCCCACGGTGCTATGCATACAACACACAATTTTATTATATACATCATATATGTTATATGTAATAGAGACTATAACATATATTATTAATTCATATGTTATATTTGTATTATATTAAGACATACAATATATTGTTTATAGTAATATCGTATGCTCTATCGCATACGATAGAACTGTCAGTAGCACGGTAATATCTGTCAATAAATATATTGTGTGTATTTTAAATTTGGTACACGAATATGGGCATGGTTTAAATTTATGTTGGGCCTACTGAAGCCCAATTTATTACAATGGTAACTATAAATGGGCTGTGTTTTGTACTAATTCTTTGACACAGTCCAGATATAATTTCTTGTTTTCTTCTTTCTTAACTCTCAAGTCAAAGTTCAAACTATTGGGTGATAAAGATTGAATTTTGTCTTTTGAAAAGTACTGTGTTATTTTTAAACATTCAATTCTATCTGGAACTTGTTAAATCAGGCAATTGTATCAATTAGTATAACTGTGTAGATTAAGATTTTTGTTATAATTAGCTTTTAGACTAGGTTCAGACATGAATTTTGTTTCCAGATTCATCCTCCCATTGTGTCTATATACACAGCTGTTGTAATCTTATTCACTAAATATATATAGAGTAGAGATTTTATTTAAAATATATATATTATTCAAGTGTCTTTATATAATCCAAATTTATCATAAATTCTGGCTTCAAATTAACACAATATATACCAATAATTATCAGTAAAATCCAAATTCGAGGAATATATATTCAATTACATGAAATGAAATTGCTTGTTTTGTTCCTGCAATAAACATATAAATTAATCAACGTGCACTTATCCACAATAACGATACGTACATACAAATAATTAAAATTAATAGTCCCAATCATATAGATTTGGTACAGAATTTAACAATAAATAATTTCACAAACTTTTGTTAATTTAAATCATATGTTTATTCAGGGCAGACAGATGGATCGAATATTGGTAAGATCTTATTACATATTACAAACCTTCTGCCTCTTGAATTCGATCTTTTAATTTAAATATTATTTCAATTACGTGCTTATTAGTGGCTTGGAAATGGAACCACAGAGCTTTAGAGAATTTATGTATATAGCAATAAAATAGTACTAGTGAATATTAATTATACTATGCATAAATTTATCCACAGAAACATATATATATATATACATTTTGGTAGTTTAGGAATATTGTGCACGATCGATCATAAACCCAACAACCACATAATCCACTTTCAAGGGGTGTTTATTAATTTATTTGTAAGTTGAATTACGATATCTAATATATAATTTAAATATGTTTTGAATATGTTAAAATTTAGATTAGTTTATATATATAAATATATTTGTTTATTTAGAAGAGAATTGGAAATAATTACTTAAAAAAAAAAAGAAATAATTTCAATTTAAGCAAACAATATAATACAATAATTTTGGAATATATGGTGGGCATGTAAGTATATATATATGTATGTGTGTCGTCCAACCACATAACAATTTATTTCAAGTCATGCATGTAACGTGCTTGCATGAAGGTCAATTTAATTAGTTAGGTTTAATGTTTATTATCTTACATATGGATATATATATATATATATATATTGCATACACCAACCTTGCAATTGTTAGCGCATAACATTTTAGAATTCCAATTAGGTATAAAAACTCAAATTGTTATTTAAAACTTCACAATTTCAAAGAATATAGAAATAATTGAAGAATAGACGATAAATTAAAGACTTGTATTAATATATATATATATATATTGTGATTTGTTTTTGTTTTTTTTGTTTTTTTTTATATCAAAATCTTACAATGAAAGAATTTATAATATTAAAAATCTCTTTGAAAAAAGAAGAATTCATTCATTTTCGAAGATAACTTTCAATAAAGTTGGACCAAAACTACACATTTTTCGTATAAATTTTTGAAGAATAAAAACAACACAAAATTAAGAAGATCATCATGATCATATATAATTATAATATCAAACAATTAACATAATCAATACTAGACTTTAATTAATTAATAGTAGAATTTGTTCTTCATAATCATAATTAAGCTAATGTAATCATTCTTTAAAAGATTAATTAGCTGTCAGAGCATTGACCAGTGCTGTCATCCCAAATGAGATTAAATTCAATCATAACATTAACATACATATATATATATATTATTGTAGCAAAATTAAATATACATTTTCAACAACTAAATCACATTCACACAATGATATTATTATTATTATTATTATTATTATTATTATTATTATTATTATTATTATTATTATTATTTAATCAAGTCAATTAACTGCAAAGACAATCAAACAAGGTATACCTGGTGATGTTTGATTTGAGAAGTTCATAATAATAAACCCAGTTGAACTTAATTTATTTTACATAGAAAATTTGAATTGGTAATAACTAATTACCTATTTAACTAAAACTTTAATGACTAAAGATGACTGAAACCATCATCAACTAGTCCTGTTTGTCTTAATGTAAATATTTTAGTTAAACCTGTGTGGTCTGTACAAGTGTCGTCATCTCTAGAAATCCACACAGTGAAGATATATTTAATTAATTTATATGTGTTATTATACGAAAATTCAATTCTTGAGCAGTAAATTTAATTTTTAAAATTCTATTTTGATGTGAGTTGGACAATTTGCATAAGTCAAATTATAATTTGACAAGTAGTAACAATTTTAAAATTTAATACCATATAACCAAAATTTGGGCAATTGGACTTGTAATAAAGTTATTATGTTTTACGGGTTTTATTAATCCTCTATATAGGAATTATCAACCTAATCAATTTTGACAGCTTGCAAATTAAATTAAATTAAATTTTATTGCACTGCTTTCACTAATTACCTATCCATTAGGTCATTAGGTTTTCATTTAAATTTTTAGAACTAAAAAGACCTATGTTTATCATCAAAATTAATCCATCTACCTAATTCATGGACTTTTTGAAGGATATATATTAGTGTAGCCAATTGCCATTTAATTAATTAGTAATTATCTTTGATTATATTTAGATAAATAATTTATAATATATTATTATTTTATACACGTACCATGAATTCTTCATTATATAAACTAAATGTTTCGTGTACGCGTTTCATTCCTTCCCTTCAATTATCTGCTCTCTAGTCAACTCATGTACAACGAATAATAAATACTATCAACTGATCGAATAAATAAATACTATCAAATTAATATACACTGGATTTAAATAATTAATTTTATAACATAATAAAACGAAGAAAAAGCCTCTGTTGTTGGGCATAAAATTCAACCAATAATAAACCGATAAATGTGTAGCAATGTAATAAAAATTTTAAAGCATGATTAACAGTAGAAATTACTCTTGACAGGGAAATTTTTTAGCAACGTCTTGATATATGCCTGATTTATTTTATTTTATTTATGTAGCACACAGTTATTACTCTAGTTAGTTATGTACGTCCTGTACCAAAATAATAAAAAAATGTATATATATATATATATGGTTCTTTTTTTCTTTTTTTTTTTCTAAGTTCTGATTTTGATATTGCTCTATTATTTAATACGTTTTTCCTATCATTTGTTTTAATACTACCTTTGTTTTGAAATACTCCCCACGGTGTAAAAATACGTCTATTTGATCGGACACGAATTTTAAGAAAAATTGATAAAATTATAAATATTTTTCTTTTATGGTAAAAAGAAAAGTAATATTTTTTTACTAAAATTGAAAACATAAATAAATTTGGATGACAAATATATATATATATATATATGAATGAATTTGGATAATAGATGGAGTAATAACCTAAGGTTTATTCGGTTGTTATTTGAAATTGATTTCAAATGAAGTATTATTAACTTGAATTTTTGTATAAAAAAAATATTTTTGATGTGTTATTTTACTAGAAAATATAATGTATTTTTTATTTAATACAATACACATACATAATATTGATTTTATTTAGAATTGTTACGTAACAAACCCCTAGTTTAATTTTGATGGTTTTCTAAATAGTTACAATTCTAATAGAATTTATTTTTAAATTTTTGACCATTCTATGATTACTTTATAACAAATATGCATACTTTCCTTTGTAGAGGGAGGAGGTATTAATAAATTGAAAAGTAGGAATATTACACACAAAAATTTAATCTAATTTTATTTAAAACATCACATTAAACACTATTTAATTTATTTTTTTGTACGGTCAAATCCCGAACCCCAAATTCAAACTAAGTCTATTGTCCCGCTAGCTATATAAACCAGCCAAAGCAATCACAAACCTCCACAGAACAAACCCTAACTAGCTTTATACCTCTACCTCACCAATCAACAATGGTGACAGCAACCTTAACCCTCATCGCTATCTTCTCCTTACTCCTAATTCCTCCGGCGGCAGTTTCCGGCAACCACGACGGCGCTGCAATAAAAGCATGGTGCAGCCAAACCCCACACCCCCAACCCTGCGAGTATTTCCTCTCACACAACACCAAATACAACGGCCCCATCAAAAAGAAATCGGACTTTTTCCGGCTGTCGACGGAGCTCGCCCTCGACCGCTGCGTCAACGCTCAGACAGGGCTGTCGGCCCTCGGCGTTAAGTGTCGGAACCCTAAGGAGAAGGCGGCGTGGGCCGACTGTCTGGAGCTGTACGACGAGACCGTACGCTGGATCAACAAGACCGTCGATCCGTACAAGAAGTGCTCCGCCGCGGAGGCGCAGACGTGGCTGAGCGCCGCCATGACCAATCTCGAGACTTGCCGGCAAGGTTTTGAGGAATTCGGAATCTCGGACTACGCTAATGTCTTCCCCTTGCTGTCAAATAATGCCTCCATGTTGCTCAGCAACACTTTGGCTTTGAATAAAGGGGATTTTGACTTTGACTTTGACTCCGCCGGAGGTAATTCTTACAGGGAAGGTTTTCCGGCGTGGGTGAAGCCCGGTGACCGGAAATTGTTGCAGGCGTCGGCGACTCCCAGGGCGAATGCTGTGGTGGCGCAGGACGGGTCCGGGAATTACAGGACGGTGGGCGCCGCCGTCGCCGCCGCCGGGAAGCGGTCGGGGAATGGGAGGTATGTGATACATGTCAAGCAAGGGACGTATCGGGAGAATGTGGATATTGGGAAGAATATTAAGAATATAATGTTGGTCGGAGATGGAATTGGGAAGACGATCATTACCGGAAGTAGAAGCGTCGACGGCGGCTCCACCACCTTCAAGTCGGCCACCGTTGGTAAGTCTCCGGCGACCCCTCTAATTAGTATTTTTTAAAATTAAATTAAATTAAAACTTACCTATTAATTCACATTGAAAAGTACACACCCTTCTCCAAATTACAGAATCTCTATAAAAAAAAAAAGGTTTTATGTAATTTTAAATTAAAATATAATAAATTTGCAGTTTTTGGTTAATTAATTAATTAATCGCAAACCCTGATATAATTTCATCAGGTGGTATTTAAAAACTACTTTTCAGATGGTCGTTATCGAGTTAGTTAAAACATGACGTAGCTTGATTTTTCATATGATCTGAGAAGTGTACTGTAGTACGAGAATAAGTGGTAGGCATAATTTGTACAAAATGATGTTTGGTAATATTTTTTGAAAACGAAGATTGAAAATACTTATTCCTAATTAATGTGATATAAATAAGGTAATTATAGTTTAGCTCTAGATTAGATAGATATCTGCATGGTCCTTCTAGAAACCTGAATATTACTTTCTGCTATTTTCTTGATGGAAAATTACGACTAGTGCCAATTTTATTGTTAGATCACATCCATGCAGCACACGTATGCACAACCATTAACTATATAATTATGCCTAATTTTCAAAACATAAAAGTCGTTAGGCCCTAATTTATCAAATACTTGACTTTTATTCTAGAAATTAATATATCCTTTATATTTATTAATTTTTTTTTAAAAAAAAATTAGGATAAATTATGGGTACTTTTTCTAATTCGATCTTTTTTTACCAACTCACACAATTTTCAAAAAATATTATTATTTTATACCATATCAAAATATGCAAAAGTTGACATTTTTCCCCAAGACTGAAAAAAGAAAAATCATAATACTGTCTCAAATTAATAACTTGTATTTAAAAAGAAAAGAAAAATGAAACACTACAAAAAAAAATATATTAAACATTTTGAAACATTTCAAGTTAACAAGAATAAAATAAGATTTAGGGTGAAAGGGACTAAATAATAAAATCACAATTGACCGTGTTATGCAGCTGTGGTCGGCGACGGGTTCATCGCCAGGGGGATCACGTTCAGGAACACCGCCGGCGCCCGGAACCACCAGGCGGTGGCGCTCCGGTCGGGGTCGGACCTCTCGGTCTTCTACCAGTGCAGCTTCGAGGGATACCAGGACACCCTCTACGTCCACTCCCAGCGCCAATTCTACCGCGACTGCGACATCTACGGCACCGTCGACTTCATCTTCGGCAACGCCGCCGTCGTGCTCCAGAACTGCAACATCTACGCCCGGGACCCACCGAACCGGACCAACACCATAACTGCCCAGGGCCGGACCGACCCGAACCAGAACACCGGGATTTCCATCCACAACTGCCGCGTCGCCGCCGCGCCGGACCTCAGGCCGGTCCAGAGCTCTGTCCGGACGTACCTCGGCCGGCCCTGGAAGGAATACTCCCGGACCGTGTTCATGAAAACCTTCCTGGACCGCCTGATCGAACCGGCCGGTTGGATGCCGTGGAGCGGTAACTTTGCGCTGAACACGCTGTACTACGGCGAGTATGCGAATACGGGTCCCGGGTCGTCCACGGCGAATCGGGTCAAGTGGAAAGGGTACCGCGTGATCACAAGCGCGTCGGAGGCGGCGAGGTTTGCGCCGGGGAGCTTTATTGCGGCGAATTCGTGGATTCCGGCGACCGGCGTGCCGTACACTTCTGGGCTTTGATTTTTATTGTGGAATTTGTTGTTTTATTTGTATTTATTGTCTCATAATTTATCCTTTTTTTTATTTTTTTTTCTTTAATTATTTATTCAAGTATCTCTCTAGTCATAAAATCCCAGCTTTGTAATGTTATGGGCTGCAATGATTGGTCCTATTCTTGACTTTGTATACTTATGTTTTTTTATTCTATTATCTTTAAAAAAATTATTACATCCAACTATTCGTTTATTTATAAACAGCTACAAAATAAATACAATTGGAAACCGCACTTAGTTTTAACAAAACGGGAACTTGAAAGCTATCCTTATAAAAAAAAATAAAAATCGATAAATAGAATTATATGGTTTATCAAGGGAAGTGTTGGCTATGTCCATAAGAGAAGGAAAATAATTTTATTAAATTTTAAAATAGGTGCAAATATCAAATTATATCATAATTCAAATTAAATTTAATGGATTGGACACAAATTATAATTATCATGAGAAACTAGGCAGGGTTAATTTTTTGGGCAATGCCCAAACTAGAATGCTTCAAAGCTATTTAAATTTGGGCTTACCTTTTATATTTACTTTTTTATTTGCTAATTGGGCTTAGTTTTGAGCATCAACCAACATTTATAACATCTCTTAAGCCCACTACATGTGTATTGAATAATACAAAAAATTAGTAAGCGTGGATATTTACAATATAAACAATAAAAGATCTCAACTCAAATAAGAGAAATATGTTTAGACACGCAAAAAAATGTACGAGACATATTTTGTCTCTCTCACAAATATATATATCCTAGAAGAATTGAAACAGCCTCATATGAACTTTTATCATACTTTGAATTACAGCCAAGAAATATATACACATATATATAAGTATGTTTGTGTGTGAGTGTGTATGGTGTAATTAAGTTGTTGGAAAACATATGGAGTAAGATGTATTGAGTGGAGTTTAATGTACATAGGAAGTGGACATTCATTACCTACAAATGTGTTGGACCTTCCTTTATCCACCACTTGTCCAGAATGGCATCATATATATATATATGAATATGATATATCCATCTGTGGCCACCAATTGCTTGCCGGCACCTAAATATCCTCATTTCACGACATAATTCCATCGACTGTCATCCTCAAGAAAATTTCAAAATTATTCCTCCTCTAATAAATTTGTGACTAATTGATTACCATATTGCATAAAAAGGCAAATTAATCTTATGTGGGAGTGGGGTTTTGGAAACAAGAAAGCAAAAGTGATAAAGCAAGAGGAGCATTATTTATTTTTAAAAGCCAAACAAATTACAACATATATCATTGCGCTGCAGCATGTCTTTGCCTCAATCACAGATCTATCTGTGGCCCGGCCCCATAATTCACAATAATTTTGAATTAATGTTGATAATGGTGGACTAAGTAATAAAGTTGGATTAAAATTACTAACTGCTAATCTGGAAAATTTCTAGTACCATCTTTACAAATTATTACTAATGCACACCTCAACAATTCCGACATCATAGGAAAGCACAGAAATACATGATGATACTAAGACAGGAGTGCATGTACCAAAATCGCTAATTTACTATAACCACGACTCTATATTAACAACAAACAAAAAAACACGCTTTTCCTTATCGTCGTCATCGTTTGCGTATGATTTCTGTCACGGCATCACGAACCACCCACCGCTTCTTTTCCGGGCAGGGGCGGTGCACTGGATCCGGGTCTGGATACGCTCAAACTCCGAGATCCGACAGGGTATGGTAATCCCACCCGGATGGTGGAACCCGAATTCCTTTTCGGACTCCTTCAGAAGGTCTCCGAACAACGGGTGGTTGAAGTAGACGACAGGCACCAGAATCCGCTGGAAGTCGCAGTCTTTCTGCCCAACGTAAACAGCCATATGCCCTTTCGGTATATGGTCGGGTTTTCCCGGACCCGGGTCCTGACCCACCCGGAGGTATCCCCGGCCCGACCCTGGTCTGCTGCTAAGAATCGCCTTCGCCTTCGTCCTCAGGCGGCGACTCCATTTCACCAGGCTTGAGAAGGGCTTACCTTTTGCTCCGGCGTATAGAGGTGAATCGAGCCGCCGGTACGCGGCGGAGGAGCGGCAACGCCGGCGGAAGATCTTGAATACTCTGTGTTTGAGCAGGAAGCCTCGGATTCTACCCATGTTAGAAAAAAGTGAAGGAATTTAAAAAAGAGGTGAGCTCGATTGAAAAATTAGGGTTTCTGGAGATGGAGGAAATTGTGGTGTTTTGTTGGTGGGAGCTTCAGGAGAACGGCCAAGGATCGGCGACGGACATGGCGAGACGGAAGAGAGTGAGACACACTTCAGAGAGAGAGGTCGGAATATTTGACATGATGTTTCATTTACAGCTTATTTTCCGATGGCGAGCCACGGCGGAGCCGGCGGTGGTTGGTTGTTTGGTGAGAAAGGCGTTACAGAAGTCGAGTGAAGATCTTGAAGAAAGTCTGGCAAAGATTTGGAGATGTGCGGTACAAAGTTATATAATATTGAGTATATGGTTTGGAAAAGTCAACCAAAAGCGATTACAGACTCCATGATTGCAGAAAGCTTCAAAGCGGATTTTGTTTCTTTCCAGTCCCGGGACTTGAGAACCGAATAATTTTTTATTTTTTTTTTATCGGAACCGGATAAATTTATTTTACTTTTGAAGCGTGTGGATTTATCAAAGTATAGCACCCAGGACCTTCTACGGATACAAGAAACCTCCACCGAAATCACGCACGCCGTTGAAAACGAGATGAACGGCTGTGATTCATTTGAGTATTTTTATTTTTATTTATTATTTCAAAATTGGATGCTCCCTTCCACAGTCAGACATTCATTATCCGTAGCATTCAAAACGTTGTACGTTTATAACGTCCACTGCGATTGCGCCACGTCACTCTAATACCGATTCATTGAAAAAATATCGCACTATTGATTAATTAATTTATATATTGATTATATTTTTTAATATTATAAAATCTGTATTTTAATTTTCTCTTAAATGATAACAATAAAAAAAAAATAACAAGAAGAAGCATAGAAGAAACATCCTTACATAATCCTACGGTTCGTACATGGCTGTCCGTACGTAAAATAAAAGGGTGGGCCCAAATGGGCCAGGTGGATCATTATTCTAACATAGTGGGCCTTTGGAGTTTAGTGGAGTACAGACCAAAATGTCCACAACCCACCTTTATATCTCCACGCAATCTCAATCAATCGCCATATCTTGATAATCATCACATTTTATTTTTAATTATTAATATAAAATAAATAAATGAATAAGGATTTGTTTGATTACAAGTTGGAGCTTGACACAATATTTCTGATATTAAGATGGAATTTTCTTTTAATCTCTCTCTTCTTTAGTTTTTCCCCTTTTAAATGAATAATATACATATATATTTAAACTACTATAGCTTTTATAAATTAATTTATTATAACTTACTTTTATTATAAAAAATTTTATTATCCAAAAATTATATTAGATATATTTTACTAAAATATAATTATAAATTATTCAAACATATTTTAAAATTTTTTTAATCAAATATATATTATATCAATATTCTTATTCAACTAAAAATCATATAGTATTCCCTCCTTTTCGGATGATAGACTTATTTGTGTTGGATATAAAATATTATATTCATAATTAAAAATATATATATGTAAAAAGTTTTTTTTTTCTTGTGTAATTGTGTTCTAATTCAAGTGTTAAAAATATTGATATTATAATGAAAATTAAAGATAATTTTATAATGATATTATTATTCATGAAAATAAAATTAGTGGTTTAAAAGAAAAAAAAAAGTTGTAAAATAAGATAATTGAATTGGGAATGAAAAAATATTCCATTACTAACATTAAAATCAAAATTTCAACTATATCTCTCAAATGAGTAAATTACAATCAGACACCATTAATTTTCTATCTGGACATCATCAGCGGATCAGAAATTTTATTTACCAGTAGTACAATTTATAAAATTAAAAATAAAATAAATTATAAGACTCGATTTATTAAAAAATAATAATAATATAATATTATTTTGTATATTTATATTTAAAAATATAAAATAATTATTTTAATTGAATTGAATTTTAATTATTGGAGTATTGATGATATTTTAAAATTTAAATTTTAAATAACCCAACTAAATTTTTTTGAATAATGATATAATTTTAAATTTTAAGTGAGGACACTATAATTTTTTAATGATAGCATATTTATTAAATTATAAATTTTTTTTTAATATAATAAAATCACTGATGACATGTGTCACCATTGCACATAATAATTTTCCTATTATATAGGGTAGCTTTATCATCACCTTTATTTTTATTATTATTATTATTATTATTATTATTATTATTATTATTAATTTGGTTATTTGATTTGTTTTAGTGAATTTTCAAATTCAGACGGAGGTATAGGTATACATGTGTGTTATATATGCATGCAATTCTATACAAATTAGTCAAATCAAATATTTCAGCCGTTGACACGAAGAAAGTTTGCAACTGATGCCCTTATTTATTGGTTTTCCACTTGATTTATTTTAATCTTAATTTTTTTTTCCCAACAATATAAATATTTAATTAAAATATACAATAAAAATATTGAATGGTCTGTAAAATATTACGAATGAAATAGAAACCAACGTAATGTTGAATTGTTAAATGTAACTAAAAGAATTAATTATGGTATAGATATACTTATTAATCATATTATAAATGTGCACAATACTTTGGCATATTCTTTATGTTATTTTTAATTTAAATATATAGTATTTTAATATGATAATTTATTAAATAAAGTAATATACTTTTATTATTAAAACTTAATAATAGTAATTTTGATTTGAAACCAAAATCAAACAAACACTTGCTGTTTGCATGGTTTTTTTTTATTTGTATAAAATATATTAGATGATGTAATTCATATATATATATATATATATATTTATCTCATGTACGTATAAGCATGCTAGTATTTATTTATTTATTTTTATGACGTGAAAATCCGCAGCCGCTAGTGTGGCATGCTAGTATTTATTAATTGTGTATATAGTAATTAATAGGTAGCTGGTAAGGTGACTACTACTAAAAAAGGGAAATAATAATTTAGTTAAAAGTCATCAGCTGCACTATAGAGTTGATAAATGAGGGAAAATGAACATTAGTTGAGCAGCCACATCTGACAATGAATTCTTAATGCATACATATTTAAATTAAATTAAATTAAACTAAAATGGGGCGGTTGGTTTGCAATTAATTGCTTCGAAATTCAACTTCTACGTACGTACGGTTCTTAGAGAGGTTTGGACTTTTGTTTGATGACTGCTACACAGCGATTTATTTTAAATCTATTTAATTTTCTAATAATCTGATAAACACCAAATGCTACAATAATTTAAAGCTAATTTTTTCTTGTACTTTCATCCATTGGGCCCAAAATGTTTTGTTAAAAGTATTTCTATTGTGAAGCCCATTAATGGAAATAATATAGCGGGCTTTCGAGCCCAAAAAGGAAGGCCCATAAACTACCACTCGTTTTCCGCGGATAAATGCAAACCGTCGATTGAATCGCGCGCAGATCAACGGCTCAAGTTCACAAGCAAATGCCGACACACAGGGAAAAACATATCATTTTTTTTAAAAAAAAAAATAATTACATACTTTAATCTCGTTATAAATTTTTTAATTTTTTTAAAGTTTTAATTAAATTAATTAATTATCTTAATATTAATTTATAATTACTTCTTAATTATCTACTAATTACACGGAGGTACTATTATTTTTTAAGAGGAACCTACATGCATATATGTCACATATATAAGTGTGCATGTTAATGCATATTACTTAAATTCTATTAACTCAATTTGATAGCTTTATCAAGCAATATCATCATTTTGCTCAATTTATAAATTCTCGTTGAATCATAATAGTCTGCAAATCACTGAAACAAAACTTTTGTTCATATCTTATTTAATAGACAAAATAACGAAAGCATAGGTAGATTTTGAATTTAAGACACAAATTCACTCCACAATCAGGTTACTATCGTTATTTTTTGTTAAGAACATTGAGAATAGATCGTGCAATCAAGTAAGCAATGGCCTGAATAGTAACCATGGGGTTGACGCCCAATGCACTTGGAGAAACGCTCGAATCGGCGACGTAAAGCCCCTCGACTTTTTGTAACTGATGCTCGTCCGTGAAGTCACCGTGCGGCTGGCTTTGTCCCTCGCCAGTGCAAAGATATGCGCCGTCCTGTCCGCGCCCGATTGCCAAGGGCGGAGAACATCCCCGGATATAAAGCCGGCGTTAAATAGATATTGATGTGATTTTTTGAATGTAAAATAAATTTGTAGTATAATATAAAAAAAAAATAATTGTTTGATGTGATATTTTTAAAAGAAAAAAATCCAAATAATTAAAATATACAGGAAAACTCAAAAAAAAAAAGAAGTTATTTTTATCTTATCTTTCACTTTCAGAGAGCTATTGAGTTTAACGGTGAATTTTTACAATCAAATTGATCAAACAATAACATGATTGAATGATCCTTTTATTTACTGAGTCTCTGGTGTTTGATGAAATTGATCACCAGGGTACGTATCTGATCCCAAAAGGATGCAATGGAAGGAAGGTATTACCACTCTTGAGAAATATCCACCATAGATCCCAGAGAACTTCCCAGAAGTTTGATCCTTCAAGATTCCAGGTAAATCAAATATTTATACCAAATAATTGATATGAATGTATGTGACAGTTAGGCTTTGTATTTTTTTTAGATGACGTGGAAACCGTAGTCGCTACTAAAAAGTGCGCACTGGGCAAACCGCCGGCTGAACCTAATACCCAGCAAACCACGGTCACAAATCCAACTCTCATGCCATCAGGCTAGCCCTTACGGGATGACAGTTAGACTTTGTATTGTTGTGTGTGTAGAGTCAGAGCAGACATAGATACATAATACTTAAAACACTTAACATTATATATATATATATATATTTGAAGCATGAAAGGTATCCATAGATCCCAAAGTCCATAGCCCATAGCGGATGCTCCTCCAACCTTTGTACACGTAGCTAAGCTATCTATGAACCCTACTACTGCATGTTTTTAGTATAGACCCTACACTACACTACACTACACTACACTACACTTGAGGTAGAGAGAGAGAGAGAGAAGGTATACACATATATATATATATTAATATATGTATGTATGTAGACAGAATGGTCAGCCCTACAAGTGTTGAGGTTGAGAGATGCCATGCCATGTTTCAGTGTCCGCAGGTCATTCATTGCGACATCATCGACCACAATCAATAGTTAATTTATTAATATCAGAGGAAGAAGATCAAGATCACGATCAAGAGTATCTGCTGCATTCACACACACACACATCCTTATCTTCTTGATCACACACTACTACTACTACTACTACTACCACTACTGCTGTACTATCTGATCATCAAATCCCAATTTCATGTCTTATCTGTGCATATTAATTGATTAATTAAATAACTAAGCTGTACGTTTAATTTGTCATTTTGGAAAATTAATCAATCTTAGTTATCTTATAAG